ACATCAAAGAGAAGAGTGCTTCCTGATCAAATCAGTGTGAAAAAATTACAAAGCTGCCAATATTTCAACTTACTCTTTTAGAAAAATTAATAAAAGACATGACAAATTTTATTTTCTGTATTAAGTTATACCAGAAACCAAGTTTCACTTTTATCTGCAGATTGTTCTACTGCCAGCTGCAAGAGAGCTTTATGAACAAATTTATCAGATGTTTAAATGTTTAATTCAATTTTTTTTGTTTTGTTTTCTATAATTACTACTGCATTTTCTGTTTTCTGCAGTGCAGAGGCTAAAACTCAATTAGGTTTAAATTAATTAAATAATGAATTAAATACTTCCCTGAAAACTGAACTTGCCTTAACCACAGTACTATTACTCAAACCTTTGAAATGCAGTACAATTTTTATTGTCAAATGCTTTTGATCATCTTAAACAATCTACTTCAGGACAGAAAGAAACACATTTCAATTTAAAAAGAAGATTGAAAGCTGGAATGTCCTCTGGAACAAATTGTTTTTGATTATTAATGTTTTAGAACAATGAAAACATAAATGTGCATGTTGGGCCTTTACTCAAATCAAAATTTAAATCTATGTAGAAATCCAACATGTGTATATAAGTTTTTATTGTTATAAAACGTTATTTTAGTGTGTTTGTTTTTGGTTTTGATTTGTGTATTTTATTTATATAGGTTATTTAAGATGATTGAGAACATTTGAAAATAAAAACAGTACTGTATTTTAAAGGTTTGAGTAATAATAATGAATTAAGTATATAGAGGGTTTACTATATACTGCTAACTTGAACCAATTTTTTTTTTATTTTTCAAAAAATTGTACAGTAATTTTAAATTTCTTGACAATAGACAAAGTTTAAGTTTTTTTATAGCTGTATACAAAATTAAAAACCTTCAGCTAGATCTAACTGCAAAATACAGTAGTTAAATTGGCAACATGGAATTTGCTATTGACTCAGCCACTGTACTGAGTAAATATATACAGATATCCCTTGTATAACACTGTAGATATGTTCTGAAAAAGTGTCATATTATGTGAATTCATGCTATATGAAACAAAGGAGTAATGCAAAACAGGATTAGGTTGTAAAAATTAACAAAAGTATAATTATCTTTTTTACTGAGAGAGAAATATTTATTAAAGCAATCAATAATTAATTTGTGAAACGAGGGCATTTTCTTTTTACAAAGTATAATTTTCTTCTGAGCCATTTTGTTGATTTTGATCAGAAATATCAGCAACATCTTCGTTGTTTTATTTTTATCATAAAAAATTTTTATGGATGGTAAAATAAAAATACGTTATTAATCGAAAATTTGTTTTAGTGGGTCACATTTGTTTAGTTGAGTACCAATTTTTTTTCTTCAGAATTTGTGTTTGAATACCAAATTGTTCGAGTACCAAGATACTACTGTATTTTGTTTGTCATCTTTACGAATGATTACTTGCCTATTGTTAAAAGAAAGTTTAATGACATTTGGCTAAAAATGTTTCAATAAATTTTAGTAAATATGAAGATTAATCTGTACATATTAATTCTGTATTTTATATTTTAATCCAATTTATTTTTTAGTGTTATTCCTTTACATATCATTATATTTTTGTAATTTTTATACATTTATATGTAATTTAAATTCCATGCACCTGCAAGACAATCAATTTGAAAAAATATTAGTTGCTTATTCAGATTCTATTCCTTGAATTTAAATGTTTTGTTTTCTATGAGCGATTTTTGCCTGAAAAGGTCAGTTATGTACTGTCGAAAATACTTGGAAAATAAATATGTTTATGTAATGCTGACAGACAGATGTGTACATTATCTTTTTCTAACAGTATTTGTCATGTACAGCTATTTAAGTTTTATTGTTCCTGCTGTTCTAATGAGAATGTTACATATTGTCCTTCAGTCTTCATTCTTTATATAAGAAAATTAAAGTATTAAATTTAATTCTTATGATTTACTCTTTTTTTTTTCTTTTGTAGACAAAAAAACTGAAATACCAAGTTCTGTTTCAAGGAAAAACTAGATTTCTTTGTTCCGATACATGTTTTCAAGTTTTCCGTAGTAAACAGAAATTAACTCCCACTAGTTCTTCAAGTAATCTGACTTCTAATCACGAAATGTGTGCTCAGTGCAAAAAGGAAATAAAAAATGGACAGGGATATTTTCCAACTGGAGAAAATAAACCATTATGTTCTGAAGACTGTATGCAGAAATATCAACAGGTAATTAATATATTTGATGATTTAATTTGATTTTTGGAGTTAATGCAATAATTTAAACTGAAATTACAACTAATTTTAAAACATAACAATATCGTTTGTGTTAATTATAAGATTCACGGACCGAAACAAGTGTGTTCTCAATGTAAAAACAACATCGAAGGTCGAACAAAATGTTTAACATGGGAAACTATGGAATTTTGTAATGAGGAATGTTTAGGAAAGTATCAAACTTTTCTTGGTAGCCATTGTACGTGTTGTCAAGCAGCGGTACAGCGATCTTCTCTCGGGAAATATTGTGTAAGATTTGGATCTGACATCAGGCAGTTTTGCTCTGGACGGTGTTTAGAGGAATTCAAGAAAGGATTGAAGGTAATAAAAATGTTTAATGAATATCATTTATTTTAAAATATTTTTTATTTTAAAAACTACATATTGGTTATTCACAGGTTTGCAGTTTCTGCCAAAAAGATTTATCTAGTGGACAAGAGGGTTTCCTTGCTCCTGTCGGCGACAAAGGTTATTTTAAAGATTTTTGTAGCCAGCAATGCATGGAAAGATATGAAATGATGAATAACGCATCTGCTACTCCTCCGACACAGAAATGTTCGGTTTGTTGCAAAACAGCGCCAATTAAAGTACAAGTAAGCATATTAAGTTTTCACTACAATGAAATATAACTAACCAGAATTTCTAAAAATATAAAACTTTGTATATCTGACTAACATGAATTATTGTAATTTTCAATCGTAGGTAAGATATGAAGGGAAAAGTCATGCTTTATGTAGCGAACCGTGTATTGCAGCGTTTCGTTATGCCAACAAAATTAACACTACCATTTGTGACACATGCCATAAATTTTTTGATTCAAAGAATAGTCAGCCCTTTACTTTACAGTTTGAAGGTACTTCAAAAAGATTTTGTGCAAAATCTTGTATGAATCTGTTTGTTTTATCTCATCGTAAAATTGTCCCATGTACTTGGTGCAAAGTAAGTATTGAAAACCAAATTTTAAAAATTTATCGCATAAAATTAAATAATAAAATATTTTTAGTGGCATTTTCATTGAATATTTTAAATATTTTTAGATGATGGTATATTAATTTTTATGTAGTATAAAGTAGTAGGCCCTCAATTTAATGGATTAATTGGGTGGGAAGAGGCACTCGCTATTGCCAAGTCCTTTAAATCAAATATATTTTAAAAACATATACTTGATACACTCCAAAAAGTTTATCGAAACTGTCTGTAATGTATGTGGGTGGAGTGAGAATGACTCAAGTTTTTTTTTTCAAAATACTTGGTAACTATGTACTGAGTTACAGTGCAAGAAGTGGTGACATCACAATCAGTTTGAGTGTGTCTGTGCTTTTCTGATGTGGTGAAAGTGAAATTTTAGAGTACAGTTTAACACACACTGACTCATCAATCTCTCCTTGTATAGAGTTATCTGATTAAGTGTTCTGTCTTAGTCCTTCCACATTCCCCATATGCACAGGGTCTTGCTTCGTTTGATTTTTACCTCTTTCCCCATATGAAAATACTTGAAAGATCAAAAATTTGTCAACACGAGTGAAATGATAGCCATTGCAAAAGTGCACTTCAGATGTTCACAAATTTTTCTGGGGAATTTTCAAAAATTGCACAACTGTGGCTGAAGTGTGTTGCTGCAGAAGGTGAATACTTTGAGGGTAATGTTGTCTAAGCATATGCACAGTCAATGAAAAATTCCTTTTACAAACTTTTTGAATTTACCATATATTAATAATGAACTTATAGTGTACAGGATGTATAAAGATGTTATAATGTGTAATAAAATATTATTATATTGTACATTGAATAATTTATACTCGACTCATTGATCAATTGATTAGTGTACTCCATTAATGAATGTGAAAAAAGTTTAAATTTTTCTTTATCACAGAATTTTTTGTTTGTTAAATCTGAAGTCTAAGTCTGTTAATTAAGGGCCAACTGTATTTATTCTCTTTTTAAAAGTAAAAATGTCTCATTCTCTAAATTTATTAAGTAGATATAAGAAGGTTTAAGTTCAAATGATATTAGGAACACATCAAAAATTCTTTCAAAAAGTTAACTTGTTTATTTGATTTCTCTATTGCTATCAACATTAGTAAATATAATTGTTACAATGTTATGAATAACTTTTAAACCTGTATAACCAGATTGTTTTTATAGTGCTTAAGGCATATTAAATTATTTTTCTTTTTACAATGTAAACATATTATCAAACAAAAGTATTGTTATATAATATAAATATATGTAGATGTAAAATTTGTAATTTTATAAATAAAATATTATTTAAATAATCTTTTCAGGTGAAAAAATATAATTTTGATATGATTGAGAGAGTTGATTCTAACAATCATGTCCAACTCTTCTGTTCCCTTAATTGTCTCTCGTTGTTTCGAGTAAGTCTAAATGCAACTTCATCAAGGAGTATACGTTGTGATCATTGTCAGCAGTCGTTACCAGCCCAGTATCATCTTACAATGAGTGATGCATCTATAAGAAATTTCTGTTCCTATCAATGTGTTATTCATTTTCAAAATCAGTTTACACATGTACCTACTCTCACAACTGCTACACCTTCTGTACGGCAGAATGCAGCCAATTCATCAGGTTTTTACAATGTTATTTATTTAATTATTTTATTTATTACATAAAATATATTAATTTATTATTAATTAATGACTATTTGAAGGAAAGATGACGACTCCACAGACTCCGACACCTATTATATCATCTGTTATGTCCTTAGCTCCATCGTCATCGGCATCAGCATCGACCTCGTCGACATCGTCTAAACAGAGTTCCCAACAAACACAGAAATCTGTACAGATTACTGTGCCACCTAAAACTAGATCGGCTTCCCAATCTCAAGCACAGTCTCAGCCCCCACCTTTGACTGTAATATCAACTAAGGTACAGCTTTCATTTCATACTTTAATAGAATAAATTATACATTAGTTACATTATTATTTTTACTATAGCCAAATTCGGTAACAACTCAGTCAACAGTTACAACAACAGCTTCGGGTAGTCAAATAATAAGAGAAGTCATAGTGAGGCCTCCTGCACCAAAGCTATTAAAAAATAAAGCGCTTCTTTGTAAGCCAATTATGCAAACCAAAGGAATTTCATGTAAACCTCATCCATGTCATAAATCTATACAGACAGGTAATATATAGCCTTTTAGATTATAAATGGCTTTAAATTTATATCCATGTTTGTTATTATATTAACAATGTAATTAGTAAGTATAATGAAAATCATATTATTGTATTTTCAGATGATGTAGTATTGGATAAGCCTGAGATCCAACCAATCGAAGTTGATGAAAAGAAAAAAGATGAGGGTAAAGTCAAGTTAAATATATGTATACATATTCAAACTTTTTGACAATATATTTTAGAGGTAGTAATTTGGTCTTTGTGAAATCATATTAATTGCTTTAAATACTTTATATATAATTAAAACAATGTTACACATATTAAATATAACATGATGTACTTCACTGAGAAAACTCACTTGATACTTACATTCAACTATAAGAATTCCATTTCTTACAAAATGTTTTTAACTCAACTAGTAAATATTTGATTTAAATAAACATTGGCAAGTTTAGTAACAAATGAATTACAAAGGAGAAGGGAAAATTGCAGTTTTAGCAGCATAGAACAATATTAAGAGAATGTGTATGCTCTTGGGAAGAGGTTACCTTTCTTGCAAGAGCCATACTTTTCAAGAGAAACCAAATCAGTAATTCACAGGATATGTACTTGGAATAAAGATTTTAAAGATGATGATGTCTAGTTTTTAAAGTATAAATGTGTAATACATATTATGGTGATAATTTTACTTTTCTATGATACAAAATGGATCTTTATCTCTCTCTCTCTCTCTCTCTCTCTCTCTCTTATGGGCTTGACCAGGCTTTTAGTGGAATAATCAAGTGAGGTATAGGATCCTATAAATCCATGCCAAATTATACTATGAAAATTTTCTGGACTTAATCTAGATTCTTTAGAATGGCAGATGTGTTCCTTAACTTCTTGATTAAGGCCATCTAAGCATATAATAGATATATCTAGTGATATATCAGGGTTATAACATGCCAGAATGCTGTTTTGGTACTTGTTTCCGAAGCCAGTGTGTGTTCTAGAAGTTTTTTTGACACTTAAATACAAAATATATGATTGTAAACATATGGAAAGATGAGTAAAATTACATCATCTGTTATAAAACATCAAAAATTATTTTCATATGTGTTGCCAAGTTTTGTGTGTTTGAATCTACATGACAAAAGGTGCAAATTTTGAATTTCCAAAGCACTACTAGTGCAAAATACTGCCATTCAATGTAACCATTAAAAAAATTTGCACTTTCTAAATGTCTTGTTACTGATATTAACTTGTCACTTGCTAGATGTTTATGCTTTCAGAGTGTAATTTTAGCAATATGAATTTAATTATAACAAAAAGATTCCTTGTTCACATTGAACGTATTGAAAATTTATTGTTTATTAAAATATGTGGTCCATTCCATTGCTAAAAGTATGGAATCTGGACTATTATGTACAAACAGTTGCAATCTTGCTGTTTTGCTATTGTAAGTTCTATTTGGAAATTTCTTTAATTTTAATTTGTCCCTTTTTATATAAATTATTATAATATGGTAAAATGCTTAATTTTGAGGGTAGGATGAGTTTTATAAAAAAATTTTTAATTGTTATTATTGCTTAAATTTTTCGTTAGTTCCACCCTTGTTCCCCACCCCCCCTCTATCTGCTTACTGTCTTAAACCTTTAACCACCAAACTTTGATAGCATCAATGTTCCTAATATACCAATACCCTAATATACCTCCCTGAAATATTCAGAAATTTTTGACAAAAAGCACAGAAGTTATTACACTTCTTATCTTAGTAGTATGCCACAGAAATTACAATCAGAAATGACAAACAACTTGAAAACATTCATGTTTCAAGACTAATAGATCACTTTTTCAANATGCAACGGGATCCGCAGCGTTGGAGCATAAAAGAATCAACTCGTTGCTATCTGGTGGTCACTCCCTTCAAAGGCAGTCTCACTATGAAACATCAAAGGTTTGCATCGGGTTGCTAACGTGGACCGTTAATGGCACTCCGAGCAATGGTGCAGACACTAATATACCTCCCTGAAATATTCAGAAATTTTTGACAAAAAGCACAGAAGTTATTACACTTCTTATCTTAGTAGTATGCCACCAGATATATCTGGATCCAATCAGAAATGACAAACAACTTGAAAACATCCATGTTTCAAGACTAATAGATCACTTTTTCGAAAGTGATAAGCACTATTAATCAGAGATGGAGAGTCCGAGTCAAATCTTTTTATGGGAATCGGGAGTTTTGTATTTTTTCACCAACTCTCCATTCCTGCTATTAATGAGATAAAATGTAATTACTTCATCACCTTATGTAATGATAAAAAACAACTTTTGAAAGTCTTATTAATCTGGATAAATACCATATTTTTGTGAATTGTCTGGCATGTTGGTCCAGGAAAACTGTGAAATCAGATATTTCTGTATGGTAAAAACTGGCATGCCTGTTTAAGTGAGATTATACATCCCTCTCTAGAGGGTGCATTTTAAAAAAAAAAAAAAGAAACAAGTTACATCATATAAAATGAATGATTTTTTTTTAAAATTCCAAAACTGTGAAACAGTCAGCATTACATCAAAAACTACGATTATATATTTAATTTCTTCATTTTGTCTTATTTCTAATAATGTAAAATATTCTTGGAATTCCGAAAGTTTTTTATGTTTATTTTATTTTGATTTGATTCAAAAATGCAAAAATAAACTTAAATTTCAGAAACTCTCAGTAAATTATCATCTATTAACATCCCCTTTATTTGAAATTTGAGAGGAAGATGTTATTTTTGAGGTCGGTAGATAGTAAGTGTAGCCCACACTAACTTCTACTATTAATATCAACAACCCGTTAATTGTTATATTGTCCTGTAAATTAAAACTCTTCCTGATTTTAAGTCAGTCAAATTATCATGTTATTATTTTATTGTATTGGAAAGAATGTTTTCTTTAACAACTAGTTTTGTTATATCTGATAAACTGCAACTAAAAAATAAAATTAAACTGCCATATCAGTAACCCTGGGGTTTCCAGTAGGCTGGTCTCCTCAGTTACATACAGTATGCCGGTTCCGCAAAAATACAGTATAAACATGCTACAGTCTAACGTATATCAATATTTGGCTTAAATCTTGCTAATTAGAAGTTATTTTATTACATTTTTTCCAAATACTCTATACAGGGTCTTACAAAAGGAATGCTACAATTTTAAATTACTGTAATTATACTAATTATTACTTGAGAAGTATGCATTGTAAATTGATTGATAGAGTGAGTGAGTTTTATCTACCATCTGCATCCAGAAATGGCAACTTTGCAACAGAGATGGTGGAATGGAGTTGCCATTTTTGTTTATGGTACTTCCTAGAGGCAACAGACAAAATGACATTTGAATATAGGTGGTATATGAAACTTGGACAGTTACTTTAGCAGTTGGTGTATGTTTCATACTTCTTGTTTAATAATTAATATAATTACAGTAATTTAAAATGGTAGCATTCTTTTTGGAAGACCCTGTATATATGTACAGATTTACTTTTTGGCCAAATCATTCTATTAATTATCAAGGAATTAGTTAATCTGCAATTTTATATGGGTTATGTTTCATATTTTTCACAGAGATATCCCTTGTATAACACTGTAGATATGTTCTGAAAAAGTGTCATATTATGTGAATTCATGCTATATGAAACAAAGGANCAGCCCATCTTTGAACAGCTAGAGAATGTAGACAATCCGCTTCGTTGTCCTGTGAAATTATATGAATTTTATATGTCAAAATGGTATTTTTTTTAAATTCAAAACAAAAAAATTATTTTTAAAAATAATAATTTCACTGATACATCTTTTTCTTCTCAGTCCAGAGAGTGTAAAGACAAGAAATGATGTGTTTTACTTATATCCAGAAAGATCGTGCGTTCCAGATAGTCCAGTTTGGTATTCTACGCAGCCATTGGGAAGAGAGTCTGTGTCCAAGATGCTGCAGAGAATAAGGATGGTGCGTGAAATCCACGAAATAGATGATGACCAAAAAGGATGAACGGAAGATATAAATAAATGAAAAATATATATATATAAATATAAATATCATCAAATGAAAGAAATTTTATTTGTAACATTGTGTTGAACACATTTGAGAGACTCAGTCAGTTGTCTTTGATCACATGTTATTTCATGACAATATTTAGTCAGTCATCAAATTATATTGTCATTTTATTCCTTAATGTGACAATATGTATTGAGCACACTCAACTTTTATTAAATTGTTTAGATTAAAACATTTCAATATTTTTTACTATTGGCCATTTTGATACATTCGACATTACGTTGTTACTTATGTTTTTTTCAGTTTTTTGTTTCTGTTCGTTACAGAACACGTTAATTTATGTGACAGACGATGTTTATGTATCATAACGAAAAAGTGTAAAAGTTTATTTTTAATCGGAATTCTCGGAAGAGTTAAATGTACGAAGATTGGAACTTAAGTTAAATATTTTATATTTAAAATAAATTTTTTTCCTCTTTTGGAAATATTCATAATTCATATTATCCTTACAATTTACATATACTAAAATAATTGTTCCCATAAGATAACAAACTAAAAACTCATTATTGAATAACTTAACTCATTTGGCATTAATTAATCTAACAGAGAAGTTTGAGTTGCAGGTAGGCAGAATCATATTATATTATATTTTTATATATATAAATTTTTAATTATTAGAATCTTAGGCCCTGTACACACTAGGCGTTTTTCAACGCGCGTTAGCTCGGCGTTCAGCACTGGCTCAGTTTGGAAATGGACGAGAAAGTAATTGATTGTGTGTGCTCCTCCATCGTCGCTATAAGGCAGCACATATATCTCAAAGCGCCCGTAAAGTGCCCACAAAACGCGCGTTTTAACAAAAATCTATAAACGCGCGCTTGGCGTTTGAGTGTGTACAGCTACATAGAACTCTTGGTTCTTTAAAACGCACGTTGAAAAACGCCTAGTGTGTACAGGGCCTTAATGCTAATTCGTTCATTAAATATTATCTAGAAAATGGATTGATTTAGAGTATATTTTTCTTTGACTATTTTTTAAAATTAAAGTTTATATTAGAAAATGATTCTGCATGTCTCTAGGTTACAAATTTCTTTGTTAGGTAATATGATCAGTAATATAAAATTAGCCTAAAAAATACCTGGCCAGTTTTTTTGATTAATAGCCCATTGGTGGCCGAGTTCCATTTGGTCGCTGGATATGTTCAAATTTGAAAGGGATTGAGTAAAGGTTGATTTCTTGGGGAATAAGTCCAGGACCTCTCGGGAATTGTGGCTTTTTGTGTCAGCATACTCAACACTTCTCATTGGGTGGCACTTAGCAACTGGCGTGAAAATAAACTAGTCTGTAGTCAATTTCAGTTGCATTCACAGATTAGAGGGGATTTATCAAATAACTAATGGCAAGCTGGTTGCAGTTAAATAGAAAGTGCAACTGTATAAACATAGGTTGACTTAAAGACTGGCCACATGAAGTTTTCTTTGTGTCTAACATCTAGATACAATCCCAGACAAGCTTCAAAATATCTAAATTATTTCCAAAATTATCTGGAGATTGATGATAGGACCACCTGTATTTTGTGTTTGTTTTCAAGCAACCGTGTATCAAGTCCAAAATCTTATACAGAAAATCTTACGGCGCAAATTGCAGATTTTGGGTCACGTACTGTTGCATACTCTGCTGGCCTTGCCTATAACTTTGATAGTTGACCATCCCCATAGATTCTCTATTGGGTCAGGGTATGGACTTGTAGCAGGCCATTGCAAAACAGCAACATTAATTGGCTTGAAACCACTGAGTATGTTGCCAAAAATACATTCAGTAATACGTGATACCACTTATGAGGCATTACGTATTACTGAGTGTATTTTTGGAAAATCCAGTCTTCTCCAGCAGCATTATCTGCAGCTGACTGCTCTTTAAGATGTCATGATAGTGCATAGATGTTTGTTTACCATAGATGAATACTCCCAACAGTTCCTGTACATAAAAGGTCCAAACCGTGACACCGCCACCACCCTGTTGCCTTCTGGAAAATGGAGCAGTGTTTTCTCTGGTCATGCTAGGTCACCTTGAACCATCAAGGTTCCACTTCCTTTCATCAAAGACAACCCAACTCCAATCAGCATTGGTCCAACTAATGTGATTCATGGCAAGCATTTCTCTTTGTCGTCAGTGCTCTTGGGTGAGTGGTGATTTCGGCTTTTTGACTACAATAATTTGCATCCTTTTGTAAAACACTTCAAATGATTCTCACAGAACAGTCCAGTCACAACTCTTGTGAATTTTCCATAAAGACACTCTTTTGAGCCATTATTTTGATTACTATTCGGTCGTGTTTGGATAGTTTGAGGGCACTCAGACATCAGCAACATGGAATAAGTCTGGGACTCCTCAAGAATTGTAGCTACAGATACTCTTACAATGCTGGATATTTTTTTGGACACCAAAGTTTTCCAAGCTTTTTCTAACAGTGGCACTCCGCTTGGTAATATTTTTTTCTTGCAGTGCCCTTACTTTATCATAGTTACTGTTACAGAGCTTTTTGTAGTTCTAGTAATAGTCATGCCATTTGGCACTATATTTTGCAGCACCCTGGTTGAAAACCACTGCCTTATTCCATCAGGCCAGTCTAATTTTAAGTTTTAACATCATATATTACAAAAATGATCAAACTCCACTTTTGATCTTATTAAACTTTGCATCTTTACTTAGTAATTTTTAAAAATTGTGCCATTGAAATCTAAACAAGTGTTTTAAAATAAACAGTACACGCTAATAATCATTTAATGACACTGAATGCAAGTATATCGGTTTGCAAAATTAAGATGGCAACAGTGTTAACAAATGGTCACATCTGTTGAATATCAGAATTGGGAGAGATGATTAATGTTGATGATTTATCATTATAAGACCATCACAAACAGCTAGAAAAATAGGAGTTGAATGTTTGCGTAACTTAACAATTCATAGGAACTTTTGGCAAGATAGTGCATTAACACCAATACCATAATATACCATTAACACCAATACCATAATAAAGTAGCAATTAAACAGTTGAGAAAGAGCAAAGGTTGAATGTTAATAAGCAGGGGCCACCACTACATTATTGCATACGACATTTGGCTGATATCAGGAGAGGATCGACGAGTGCGGCATTGTCAACGTATTTCTGTATTTTCTACGAGACCTAGAGTATGAAAAACAAATATTGGTGTATTTGTAATAAAGATGAGTTCTATCAAATGCAATAATTTTTAGATGAAGTGCAAAACTTCAGCTGCATCAATGGATCTCGGTGGCATCTATTACTGAAGATCTACTAAAGTATACTCTTACTAGTCAAAACGTAATCATTGTATGGATTGTTTGGGTCAATGAAATTGCATATAAAGAAAAGTAACTCAAACATAGACTATGGACAAATCTGATGTTTCAAATTGACCCACCATTTTTGTTTAGACATTTTCTCCTCCTCCCGGATGGAATTTCTATATTAAAAACATGATTTTTTTGTCAGTTTATTGAAATTTAAAAATATCACTAATGCATTCTTAAGCTAGGTTCACATTGTCATACAAAACTCTACAAAGATACAAATTGCTGATCATCTCCTTTTCGCAACTATTTGACCAGTTTGTTAGGAGTTAAAAATATCTTGACTTTTATTGAATTCCGTTCATTCAACTAATCAAGTTCTCAGTTTGTGTCACATAAGTACAAAGCAACATTTTGCTTTGTTCATTTTTTACAACATTGTGAGCTTAGCTTTAGAAGATAAACATCAATTGTACTACTCTTGGATCATTTAATTATATTATAAACACTTCGTGGGATCGATACACTATTGTAGGCAGCCGGACGATCGACACTAAAAAGGTTGTCTCGGAAGTTTTATGGACGACTTTGACACGGACGTGGAAAATTGCTCTCGCTATTAATCTAGGCTCCACTGTGGATCTATACCCAATTTTGTGACGTTACAAAAAAAAAAAAACCTTCAAATGCATTTTAATTCTGTTCTGTGAGCATCTTATGCTTATTGCAAAACTATAAGTTCTATTTAACTAAAATATATTCTGAATTTCAAATTAAAAAGTAAATATTTCTTGCTTTGGCTAAAGATAATTAAAACCTTGCATAGACTATAAAGCATTTGCTTTAAGTAAGAGAGCCCCAGGTCAAGCATCGTAATGTGCTTGGTAATGCAACGGGATCCGCAGCGTTGGAGCATAAAAGAATCAACTCGTTGCTATCTGGTGGTCACTCCCTTCAAAGGCAGTCTCACTATGAAACATCAAAGGTTTGCATCGGGTTGCTAACGTGGACCGTTAATGGCACTCCGAGCAATGGTGCAGACACTCTTCCCTTTTTTGGTCTCAAGCACTAACGGGAAGAGCACCAAACTGCATTGTTGACTATTGTTCTTATGGGAAAATGATCTATAGTCATTATTGTGGTTTAAGGAATTAAATAATCTATAAAGTTTAAATATAAAGCTTTTTTGTTTAAACTTTGACATTTTTAGTGCAAAATTTTTTTTAATTAGCAGAAAATTGCAATATAGCAAAATAAATAGTCAAAATAATGGACTATAAAACAATAAATCCTAAGTTCCGAACATAAAAACAATTGATCTTATGAAATGAATTACTTAAAGTATAACGTAGTTACTTTATGCAGGAGCAGCATTAATAATCACAAGTTATACAGATAACATTAAACATGTTTGGGGACAGGTACAGTACTTATGAATCTCGAATAGTCAAAGTGCCAGGAATAATGGTTGATTTTCAAGAAAAAGATATTTAAATTGTATTTGTGCATTTTGCGTAAGTAAAATTGACATATAATAAATAGAATTTCAATTTGTTTTACATGGTTTATATAGTACAGATGTCACTTGATTAATGCAGTTAATCCCTCAATCCTACCATGTTTATTAAAATCATGTTAATTAATCAAAATACCGTATCTATGTTAAGTAAAGTCATGTACTGTAAATAAAGGGATTGCCACAATTAATTTTGTGTGTTAATCAAATCCCACATTAAATGAAGGATATCTGTAGAAGTCCTATTGTTCTTGAATCTGACAAAAAAAATAAAAGGGGCATGGTAATTTGTCATCATACCAGTCCTTTAAGAGCATATACAGTAGCTAATCAAATCTTAGATATACACTGTAAATACTGTAGTTCAAAATTATTATTTGTACCACATACTCATGCTTTTCTTCTTCCATTTGTTTTTGCACATCCTTTTGATTGAACTACCCAGAACCTTAAATTGAGATGGTTAATGCTTCGACGTGCCACTCCGGGAGCCTCGGAAACTTTTTACCTGCAGTCCATCTTGTATGAGCCCTTGTCATTTGAATTTATGTGCCCGGTCATATTCAACGGGGCCTTTTCCATATCCATCATAGATCCACAGGATAGAAAAGGTTATAAGAAAACCTCCTCAATTAAAAATTATTCTCAAAAACAATGTTTTCAAATGTTGCTGCACTCTTTTTTTTTTTTTGGCACAAAGTTAAATCTAGAAAGAAAATGGACAAAACTCAAATTACAAGATTTCAATGTCTTCAACAACAGTAGAGTTAAAATGGTTATTTTGGTACAAAACTAGTGTACCTCTATTTACGAGCATTTGATACAATGGACGTTTGCTTTTGATATCTTTTCTTTGTTCTGGAAACAAAATATTCGATACGACGAGCACCAATTGATACTTGCTAGAACAAAATATTCTAAATGTCGAGTGTAATGGGGTTGAAATTCATACTCGCACAGATTAATTTTCTTTGGGTATGTTGAACGAGTTAAAAAATGCCGCCATCATTATTCTTACTTTCGCTGGACATTTTGACCAATCCATTTGTTTCAGAACAGCCATTTTGTTATAAAGTTAATGTTTCTGGTGAAGTGTTATTGAAATATTTTTCTTGGATTGCTTCAGGTGGGCAAGTTATTTATGTCATTTGGTTTTTAATCCACAATTTTTCATAGGAGTGAATTTAGAAACAGATATCGCTGGATGCCATTTTCTTCACAATATAAACTAATGCATTCCTTTGTGAATGTCATTTGAAACATCATTAAAATAGAGCATGTGCATTCTTGGCCGAATTAGTACTTCATGACCGACTCGTTAGTAATTCATTTAACTTGTTCAACTTTACAAATATACTTGTTTCATTCACAAGGATGGCTGCTGTCGCTTGTGTCCAACAAAGATTTGTAATAGTTTGACCCGCTTCTCTGATCATCTCTCTTCTATTCTGCAATTACAATTTTGTTTGTTTGCTTGTTATTGGTGAACAACCTAATCAACAATTTCACTTTGTTTAGAATCATTGGTCAATAGATGAATGTTTTGTAGCACTTTAAACAGCTTGTCACTACCCTAACCACGTTGACGAGATGACTCTTAGGAAAACCGAGACGTATTGAGGAGGAAAAGTGGAAATAAAGTATGTATAGGCCACCAGTTTAAATGAGGAAAGCACATTCCTAAATTACAACACAACGTCATGTACGATCTGCCACACTCATCAAGAGTTTAATAAAACTTTCGCCATACAGCATGCTTTTCAATAAATTTAACATACGTAACATACAATAATTTTATTGCCGACGGTGTACGTTGCTTATTAATCAATACATTGCAAAGATTAAAGAATTCATTCCGCTTCACATGCTAAAAAGACACCAGTAACACCTAAATGCTTTCGTCCAAATTTATTTCAGACCCGAATAACCAAAATTTTGTTTACAAAATGTTAGGATAATACAAAGACGGAACGTGGCAAACTAAACAATATGACTAGTAGAATAGATGTAAACATAACTGTAACTATCGAACGCTAAAAGTTAGATTTGCTCACAATTGGGATTTGATTATTAAAAAAAAAATAATAATAATAATAATAAGGAACATTTTCCAAAGCAATCTGCAATATTTTAAAATATAACATTTTCCAAGTATTAAATGTGTAAAGAAGTTGTACTTAAAAATATTTTTTTTTTCTTTTAACAAGTATAAAAAGTGGTTGAGAATGTTAAAACACAAAAAAAAATCCTTGGGAATGGTGAGATGAGGACTATTTTAATAGTCCAACTTGTTTTAGAAAAGATTATTCGTTCATCTTGCTGAAATATTTGAGCTTATCTTCAGGGTTGGGAATTATCTGAAACAAAATCAGAAGATTGTTGGCACTTTTATCAGAAATTTTTAGCAGGTGCATTAATTAAGCTATGCCTCTGAAACTTACGGTATCTCCGCCTGGTTTCCATCCGGCCGGACAAACCTCGCCGTGTTTGTCGGTGTACTGGAAGGCTTGGACAAGCCTCAGAGTTTCGTCTACCGAACGCCCGACGGGTAAATCGTTCATCGTTATCTGACGAAGTATCCCCTTATTATCAATGATAAACAGTCCCCTAAAGTAAAGAAGTTAATTTATATCCGCTTAAAACACATATCTGTTTTCCCATTTTTAAATTACCTGAGCGTGTGACCGAGATCTTCCAAGTATACGCCGTAATCTTTTGCTATGGAATGAGTAATATCGGATAAAAGTGGGATGTTTATGGGCCCCAATCCTCCTAATTTTCGTGGAGTGTTGATCCTGAAAGAGTTTAATTTTCCATTGAGTCTTAAGATGCAATCATCCATATAAATCATGTAAAAGTAATTATTTACCATGCTAAGTGAGTGAAAGGAGAATCAACAGAACATGCCACGACTTCGGTATTTAAATTATGAAATTCTTTGATGCGGTCGCTGAAAGCGATGATTTCGGTCGGACATACAAACGTGCTATAAAAGAGACAAACACAATTATAATTAAATCAATAAATTATATGTCTATATACTTTAAAATAAGCAGACTTACAAATCAAGAGGATAAAAGAAGAACACCAAATATTTTCCAAGAAAATCTTTTAGTTTCAGTTCTTTAAATTCTCCATTAATGATAGCTGTACCTTCCCAATTTGGAGCAGGTTTAGAAACTATAATTTCAAGAAAAATAATGATAAGTAAATAATATTTATATGAAATACTTTAAAATTTAAGTTGTATATATACAGGATGCTTCAAAAGAAATAACATATGTGGAGAAGGCAGTACTTTTTCAAGAATTCAACAATTAGACTGTGACTTGCACATGATGGAGAACCACACAGATGACAATGTTACTACAAATCTGGCATAACAAATTAATTTCTTATTAATGTTAACATGTTTTTGAAGCACCATGTATATACAGTGTGGACAAAAAGTCAGTTATCAATTGGGAGAACACTATTGTTAGTCTGTACTTCTTCAAAAGTAATGCAAACCAATACATATGGAAACATGCTGGATGATCTTCCTCTGAGTCAATGACAGGAACTTTGCCTTATCCATTTGGAAGAGATTTAATGCAATGTTTCTGGAATGTTGGATTGGTCAGGCAATGACCCATCATTATGACCTCCATGTTCGCCTGACCTAACCCCTATGGTTTTTTTCTTCTGGGGCTATGTGAAGCAACATGTCTTCTAGACACTTCCTGACTCCCTCAATGAGTCCTGTCTTCAGAATTAGTACCATTATTCACTACATTCCATGTGTAATTCTTGCAGCAGTGATGTAAAGTCCTCCATTGTTTACAACACTGTATTCAAATGCACAGACAACACTTTGAATACAAATGTTGAATATTATGTACAACACTCCATATACTAGTCTGCAGTCGAACAGACTGCATTAATCATTATTAAAGTCATTTACAGTATCTTTTGTCTAATTTGTAACATCATCTTCCCCATTTGACAAGTGACTTTTTGACCACATTACATACTGCTTTTCACAGACTGTATGTTAAATAGCACATTTGTTAACGAAGCACCACAAATGTAAATTCAATTCAAACTGCTTATTTGGAAGTCAAGACTATTTAAAAAATACTAGCAGTTTCAGACTTTATACCAGTCACTAGTACTTATCTAGAGAAAAATAACAATTGAGAAATGTCAGAATATTGTTATTTGTAACAGTAATGTGAGCAGTTACCTGGTATCTTACATTCAAAAACTTAGCTTTATAAATCAGATGCTATTCTCATAAAAGTTTAATTAATAAATGATCTTTAATTATATTAACAATATTTTAAAATGGATGCACTACTTAAATATACACCACTGTACACAAACTTTTACTTAAAATAATACAGTAATATCAAGAAAGATTATTATTGTATCAGGTTTATCAGGAAGAAAAGCAAATACTTTGGGAGATGATTCCTCTCACAAGAGGAGTAAAAAAAGTCCACAAGGATCCACATCTGAAAATTAATGATTTCCAAGAAAAATGCACAAACAATAGTGGATGTTACAAGATCATTTTCACAAGCCATGCTCTGCAGAACATATCAAACTGTGTATGGGACTGGATGAAGGATGAGATGTACTGAAAGAGAAGGTAGACTCCCAAGATTGACTTATTGTCTGGAAAAGAAATGCCACCACAATTATCAAAGAGGATACGGATGCACTTCAAAGAAGTACACAATTTATTATGGCATGCTCAAAAATTATCAATGCCGAGGGGGACCACTTTGAGAACTTCCTCTGATGTCACGAATCTATCTTGTTATGGATCATCAAGTGCAACCATAGCTGCTACATTAACACGTCATGTCAAACTGTGAAACATTCATACTACTATATCTTTGCTAATTAATATTAATAAATCACTGTATGTTCATACAGACTTGTATATTATCTTATGCATTCATCTGAAGTATTAATCTTTTGCTGCACCCTGTATATACAAAATATTATTGACAAAGATTAATAAGTCAATAGCAATTATAATAAAATTAATTGTTATTTTAATAATATTACAACTCTTAAATTATGTTTGTTTGCTTTGATTTTATTGGGACGAGATTTTTTGACCAAATGGTGCCAAACATATACAAGTGATCCAAAACTTAGGGATGAAAGACATTTGTACACAGAGAGAACTGTAGAAGAATGCAGACAATTTCGGCAAGAATTGTACTACTCAACGTCTAACATCAGGAGGTACACAACTTAAGTTATAGGATTTTATAAACCGAAGGAATAAAAGTAAAGTTTTTGATGAAAAAGATACACATGGCAGTTGGATGTAGGTGGAGAATGGATGGAAAGTGCTTACCCAGGCAGAGAGAGATCTGATAGTATGAAACATGCATTTGCATCTGCTTCTTTCTTACATCTTTGCAAATTACCACTGACTGGCTCAGTGACTTTTCTAGCTATCACTGCTAGCGATTATGTTTGTCCTTAAGTTTTGACGTGTGTATTAAACTTATACAAAATCAATAAGGAAAAATCTCCAGCTAAAATAATTTGATCATCACTCGGATATTATCCACTGAAAACACATGCAGTGTGTGCATATTTAATGCACTAACTACTGTATATACCTTAACTGCTAAAGCCATATTTAATGTACCAACAAAGTGATCATTATGCAGGACCACTGATACAACCACATTCAATGAACCAATTACACACTGTAGTTTTTAAAATTTATAGATAAGAAGCAACAATTTTTATAATCTCTGTCTGGAGTAATTCTTCTTAACATAGGTCTAAAATTAGCCAACCCTGGGCTATCATACCTTGTAGATTATGTAACGAAAAGGAGTCAGTATCGCGTGGAAAGCATGCAGTCCATTGCGAGCACAATTATTGAAGTTACGTACACATCCTCAGTAAATTCTCTTCTAGGTACCATTTGCATGTTTATTAAAATTTTTAAGAATATAAAATATTTTAACTTAATAGTACAGTAGTCTACTCTTGCCAATCGGACCGACAAGGAATCGCGAGTCCGAAATGCATTTCCGACATCAATAAAGCATCACTTAACCTACAAGATGTGATAAGTCTGCGAAATTAACCAACTCTGGTGTACATTAAGAAAGATAGAGATTATATATAAATTATAATGATAAAAATTATTGCACGGATCTATTTACATCATCGATGTAAATAGATCCGTGCAAGACGCAGATCACGTAAGACGACATATGGAACTTTTATAACGAATGATAACAGATAATGCAATTATCAAGGATTTCTGTTCCTATCAGAATCATAAATATTCTATTAAATTTATACGAAAACTGCCACGTACAAGAAATAACACCGCGACAACTTAATTATAACAGATGCACTTAAGGATAAGATAATCATACAAGCTTGAAAATTTCTAAACAAACAACAAACCAAAAATTGCATAATTTAAATGCTTATAGATAATAAAATATACAATAAATTACTTTAATTTTTAACAATTTTTTTTAACCTTAATCTCAATTAAGTTGTATTCATACATGATAATGCTATTAGAAAATATAAAATTGTTAATAAGCTGATATTAATTGGCTAATAAATCACTAATTTTAGATTTTTTAAATGCAATTCAATTGAAATTAGTGATTCATTGCTTATGAATATGCAAAATTAAATATTAATTAATCACAGAGCATCCAATTGATAATTATGTGAAAGGTGAAGCTGAGGAGGGGGTTTCATACTTTGAGCTTTGCTCCAATGTAATGTATGCCCAGAGGATTTTGTAGATTCTTGAGGATAGACTTGGCCTCCACCATAAGAATAACATGCTTCTTCACATATAATCACTTTAAAATTCGTCACGCATATAAATGCTAACAAGAGATGCAGCAACATGCTTCCTGTGATGCTCAGCAACTGATGAAATTCGACACGTGGATTTGAATGTCGTTTCGATTGTTTATTATACTGAAATAGATCAATTTTTTAAAACGTAAATTTTTAATATTAAATCGAAATAGTATGAATTTAATTACAATAAAATCTAGTATTGGATGCTTCTACTATTGCATGTGAAACGAACTGTCATTGGTTCTCTCAGTAACTTGTCACTTACAAGTGGCCGTTATTATAATACATAGATAATTTGCATAATTGAAAAAATGAATTATGCAAATTACAGAACGTGTACTTTATTTTTATTGCTCGAAGATTCAATATATATTTGTGGCTCGTTAGCTCAGTCGGTTAGAGCGTCGTGCTAATAACGCGAAGGTCGTGGGTTCGACCCCCACACGAGCCAATTATTTTATTTTTTACATTCCTACTCTCGCGCCGGAAATCGAACCTAGATCACCTGGGCGAGAGCCAGGTATCCTGACTACTGAACTACATGGCATATGCCGCTCACGAAATTAAGACCGATTTAATCGCTTTCTGCTTTGCGGTTGGGAAAGCCACGAGGATATTTGCAAACCTCTAAAAATGTGGAGAAGCATAATTATTGAATGCTTCAATCTCTAATGCCGAGTGGCACGTTGCCTCCATTGCTAGTGTGCTAGTCTGGCGAGCCTTTTCGTATGACAGTAGTTTGGGATTTTTTTTTCCTGACTTACTTGTTAGAGAAAACTCGGGGCTATCAATGGCCAAAAATATATATATACTATATATAAAACTCTTCCCCTTTTCGTATTCATCATGAATTTGTCATGCTCGGGTCATTCTGATAACGAAAGCCAAGCCCAACAATGGGATATTCGAATGATAAGGAGAGAGTTCCAACATACAGTATATTTTTTAAAGTATAAACCATTTTAGTCTGTACGTAACCTTTCTCGAAAACTCAGGTTTCACCATGTATATCAAATGGCGTAATCCAAGATGGGTATCAAATGGATAAGTGTACGCGGACTGTGTTAAGTGATGAAGGATGGAGTTCAACATACCGAATCAACGCATCCATGAAAAATAAGAAACGGATATATTTCACATAAGATTTTATTTTAGAATAAGAATTTTGGAAAAGAATTATTGTCAATACTTCAATTTTTTTTTAATACAGTATATAATTCTCCTTTCTTTTTAAAATAACTCGTTCCCGTTTCTCTTCGACTCAGTAGCCAATTTGACTTTTTCTTTCCTGTATCTTATCTGATCATTTAGTGCCATGATTTTATATTCGTTCTTAGAGATTTGGGATGAAGATCTCCAAACTTTGCCTAATTTCTTTAAAGATGTAGGACCCCTTTTCGGTCGTTCATATTTTACAAAATATGAAAATGGCGGCGTCGGTCGTTTTAATGAAGTTTCTTCACTTCTCAAGTCGATGAAATTTAGATGAGATTTTTCTTTCCAATATCTCAGTCTATCGTGTAGGGCCACGATTTCGAATTTCTCACGCCTAAAATTTGACTCGTATTTCCATACTTTTGCTAATTTCTTTACTGATGAGACATTTTGATTCTGTCTTTGCTCTTTGCAGAAGTACAGAAACGATGATGTCGGTCGTTTAATATTCAAATCCTCCATGAATTCTCGAGGGTTGATCGAATCGAAATGAGCCATTTTTATTATTCTTCGAATATATTTTAGACCGTTTATATATTGTTGCGTGTAAACAATGAATTATAATATCTATTTATACTAATACAATAGTTTAAATGAAGCTATTGTTACAATTGTAATAGTGATCTATCGTAGGAAATTTTCAAACAATATAAATGATTTTAAAAAATTATTTTTAACTCTTTCCGCTTTGTGAGCATTAAAAGGGCCTTTTTTCATACTCATCATGGATTTGGAAAGGTCCACAATGGGAAGATGCTGGATGGTGAGGGATATGACCGGACTTATTCGAGATAGACTACTCATGAAAAATCTCTTGAGTTGCTAATCCAGATTTGATCCCGGATCCCCCAGTATGGCGCGCTTTGCCTCGGGGGTCTTCTTTTCAACAAGCCCATTACGGTGCGGCCGAGTGGTGAGAAACGTGGCCCGATGTATCCGAAATAATCAGCAACAAAAAATTGCTGGTGTTTTTCAACTCGTCCACATAAATTCTGGGTACCCGGAGCAGCAGGCTGCAACTTTAACCGCTCGGCCATCCGGACCAATGACAAGTAAAATACATTTTTATTCAAGTCGATTTAAAGAAAATTTGCAAAAATGATAAAAGCTTTATTATTTTATTACTTTTTTAATGTAAGTAAATAATAATTTCCGAAATATACATTTGGTAGCATTTGGGCAATTAAAAATATACATCCTTATCTGGCAACACTTACGCGACATTAGAAATTGACATGAATTGGCAACATGCATCTATTCCCGCGTGAAGGTGCCAAGATGGTTTTGTTTTGTTGCTACTTTTAAGGTTTATTAATATGTTTATGTTCGTTACTGTAAATTTTACTCGCGAATTAAAAATTACACAAGTTATTAAGCTGATTTAAGTCTATTAAAGGTAAGGATAATAATCAAAATAGCTTTTAATTACAGGTAAAACGTGGAATATGCATCAACAATACAATTCTCAGTAACATATTAAAGCAAATAATACATTTAATAGTAATTTAAATGATAAAAATCTTTAATCCCTTAGCGTTAAAGATATTTATCAGTTTAAATACTTAATATTACACTTCCATTTCAATGCAACTATACACATTGGATATAAGAATTTATAAATAAAAAAATCAAGTTTAAGAACAAAATATAATTTTTTTAGATGATGTCCATCATCAGGAATTGATTGCAATTGGTTTAAGTTAATACATTTTATATTGCATTACATTCGTGCCAGTTTCGTGTCGATTGTTATCGCATTGCAGTCGGTATCGAAATAGTTGACCCGGGAGTTGCGCGGAAAGTTGTTAGCCTTGTCGTGGAGCACGGATGGTGAACGGATGAGAAACTATCCAATATGCAACATGAACGACTTCATTACTGTTAAATTTCAGTTTTTTATTTAGCTTGGCATGTCGTCGTACTTTTCTCAATTAGCTTCATTAAGTTTGTTTTAATTAGAGAATATTTATAGAAGTCTCCGAACAGGCGAATTAAAACTACAGATTGTACACAATCTTCTGGCGAATAATATGTATTTGAATTAAATAAGAACGGAACGTTTTTGATCTCTTTCGGGGGCTTGAAAAAACATTTTAAAATTAGAATTTATAATCGTTAAATTCTATCAATTAGAATCGTTAAATTCTGTAACGATTGACACTTGATGCAGACCCCTGAAAGATTCTGAAAACATTTTATTTAATTCAAATACATATTATTTAATGGAAGATTGTGTGTATGGTAGGTAGTTTTTAATTTTAAAAATATTCATTAGATTTATTTAAAAATCATTATTGTACGTCTAAAATTTTGGTGCACAACTTTCTAAAAATTAATTTTGTGTGCTGTATGTCACATGGACTCATAGGTTCCACTTCTTGGTCTTAGAAGATCCAAATTCCAAAACCAAACTTCTAGAACATGGTCCTGGTGGTCTATATAAACGTAGATAGCATGGATCGTGACATTGTTTCTTGTCCCTATGCTAGTCAGATCTATTACACATAAGACCAATGGCTGTTGAGAGGGGTGCTGAGGATTTTTTCCTGAACCAGAAGAAAATTTTTAACAGTCTGTAGTGATTCATACTCCTATCAAGTAATAAAATTAAGACTACTTTTTATTAATAAAAAAACATTCTACATATTTCATTTGTTAAAAAAGATGGCAAAAAAGGAACTGCTTTATTCCTGGACTCCATACCAGTGGGCCGCGGTAAAATATCAAACATTGACCAGTCCGCGGCGATAAAAAGGTTGGGGACCGCTGCTCTACACCACTGATCAGACTCATCTGTAATGGGTATCGTCATTCGTCATCAATCAGTACTAATATATTTTCTTTTTTTTAACTGATTGTAGTGATGATTATATAAATTATTGTTAATTTAATTTAAAAGCTTAAAACTTATTTAAATATTAAACTTGTTTATATATACTTTCTTAAATGGAATATTTTTATCTAAAATCACAATATTTTGAATGCGTAATTACGGAATTTATTTCATTATTTGTATTATAGTTAGAATAATTTATTATTATTTAAATAATATAATTTAATAGTTATGTTTATAACGTATGTTATAAATTAATGAAGTTAACAGTAATTGGCTGTCGTTACAGTTGCAGACAATATAAACATAAGCATGTTTATTGCTTTGAATAAGCAATATGCTTATTCAAATTTGAGCAGTTATGGCATCATATTTAAAATTGTATGCATATTTGGGAATTTGAGAAGGAAAATGTTTAAGAAATATATAAAAAAATAAATCAGAAGAGTATATAAAAAAGAAATGAAGTTGAGATATGAGTGGAGATTACAACATGAATAATAAAGCTCATCTACGGGGTTTTTTTAAATCATGAACATGCATAACCTTTTCTCAGAGATAACTAGATGATGATCAAACAGTTAAGGTGGCAGCCTACTACTCTGAATGATCCAAGATTGAATCTGGACAAGTCGAAAAACACAGGAATTTTTGGGGTGGTCCATCGGATATACTTGGTAAAAAAAAGACCCTTTTGGTGCCCACAGGGCAGAAAGAATTTTAAAAATTTTCAAAGAACTATGTCCTGTTCAGTTTCTTTTAAGAGAAAGATATGAATATAATAACCAATCAATAAATGTAATTATAAAAGGTAAAAACATTAAGCACATGTAGATTTTATATGTAATTATCAAATATTTATTGTGATATTGTAACAATGCCGGACTGCAATTTTTAATCATATTTTAAATTTAAAATACACCCTTTGTCAGAAAAGTTCCAGGACAAAGCTCATAAACTTCATATCTGAAGCTTTGGAGAATATGTAGAAGACGTATCTGTTGGGATATAGATAACATTATATACTAAAATAAATTATTAGAACCATTAGAGATATTTATGATACCAAAATCTTTTGATTACCAATTATAGTGCTTACTATAATGGCATTAAAATAGTCACTTTATTTTACTTCCTTGAATCAGGCAAGCTAATAAATAGTCAGTGATGTGCTATTAAAGATATGGAAGATATATCTTCATCCTGAAAATGATGTTGTTTGTATTAATTAGTTGTTGTTGTTCTGATATTCGTTAATATTACCTATCTATTGTCTATCTACAAATTTTTTGTAAAAAAATTTATGTTGTGGAGTCATTCATTTGCTTTATCTAGTATATTTTCCTTTCAGAATCCCTGTTTTTCTTGGGAATTCACCTCCAGCCTTGCTGCAGCTTTTCCGCAACCTACAAGAGGGTGAATTCCCCATTACTATTACTTGATCCTTTATATGTTCACTCTAATGAAAAATGATAGTTACATACTGCAAATAATGGTTTTTGTCACTAAATTGTGTGTGAAGAATTAAATATTTAATAATTTTGAATGTAATTATAATTATTTAACACATTTTTTTGTGACATTTCTTCTAGATTGGTAGACTGGTGCATTTACAAACTTTTTTATATTAACTTAGTGTTACGAATAATTTTATTTTTTGTTGAAAGCAAATATAAGTTGATAAGAATTGTAATTCTTTGACTACTCGATAGAAAATACTGAACATAATTTTGCTCTCAGATTGCCAAGTTAAGTAAATTGTGATTGTTGGCGTACTCTCTAATCCAGTATGAAATATATTTACAATATTGAAGATGACATATCAATAGAAAAAAGTAAATTTTCAAAATGTTATGAAGGTCCATTCACGAATTGTCGGAACGCAGTCAATGCTAGTGGAGTCGACTTTTCTTTACAGGCTCTTCTCACCTATGCTTATGCAAATTGCTTGAAAGTTTCCACGATAAGTGTAGGAAGAGAAGAGCTTATAAAGGAAGATCAACTCTGCTAGCATCAGTTGTGTGCCGATGATTTGTGAATGGATGTTTGTAAGACTTATAGTCATTTATGTTCCACAAAAACCTCATTAGTGGAGACCATGTGAACAGGAGTACAATACTAGTATTTTAAGTCTGATAATGGATTTATTTAGGTATTTTCATTGATTTTTCTTCAAAAATTGAAGAACTATACTATAATTATGTGAGTTGTGACTGGTCAGATAGCTGATGCAGCTAAGATGTTTGCCTGCTGCTCCAAGATACCTGTATTCGAGTGTCGATTGGATTGTCAGAAATTTTCATGGGCCCAGTGCCTCGTCACCTAGCTGATACCATTACAGACTTTTACTATAATTTTATTCACTTTCCAGCAGTAACTGTTTAATAAACAAATGTGTTTGGTCGTATTTAGGTTTTGTTTAATGTTGCAGCTATTACTGCTGAAAAGTGTGAGGAAGGTTTGATTTTTCCGTTATAAGTTAGTTCCAGCTCACAAATTCAATAAATTTGTATTTATTTGTTCATTTACCTTCCAACCTGCTTATTCCAATTCAGCTGGCTGATGCCTGTCTTGACAGATATATGCAAGATGGAAACCAACCCTAGCCCTTGAATACTACTCTTCTTTGTATCTCTTATATGCTACTGTGGGATTATAGAGTAACCGCGGGTTAAAAATAGACACCAAAATTCAGCTAATACGTTTATTTTCAAAAATTTTATGAAAATACATCTGCTTACTTGTTCTTCAAAGTTTTTTACACAATTGCAACATTCATGCAGATGATATATTTGTGAATATTGCAAACAAACCTTTTGCACTTATGGCATTTTATTGCTGTTTTTCAGTCTATTTTTATAGGACATGCCGAAGAGCGATCTTGTTTTTATTGATTTTCTGGATTTAAGGAAGATGTGTGAAGTTTGATTGGGGTTAATTTGCAAAATGTTCTTAGCAGTGTTCATAGACGAGATACTGATGTTTCGGTAATTCTGACCGGTGCTGTGTGAATATAGTTTGCTTTCGAAGATTTATGAGAAAAGTCTTTCTGGCTTATGGTTTCTTCTTTTTGGTGAATAAATTACTGCTGTGTTCAACTGCAGTGCTACTCTGAGGTCTTCAGTAACCCCACTACCTATGTCACTGTAAACAACCGTGTACAACAGATGTCTTCTAACACACGAGTAAATGTTAGCCTTATAAAAGAATTTGTGGAGGAAGAGAGTTGCAAGAGCTGTCAATTCATAGTGACAGCAAAAAGAATTTGTCGTGGGGATACTGTATGCCCCAAAGTAGCATTTAAGGGCTAGATAAGGCGTACTTGCGGGACATACACACTCACTCACACGAGAGAATTTAGATACACTAATTAACCTAACTACTATCATTGGGATACAGGAAGAAACTGGAGTACTCGGAAAGAACGCATATGAATAAGAAACAGATGTGCAGACTTTACATAAGCATTAACGCCACCTCGAATCAGTTTATCACGAACATTATAACCAAATGACATTATTTGCGGACCTGTTGTATTACAACATCAAGATGCTCAGCGTAAATCATAATAGAAAATTTATATTAGTCATAAAACTAAGTTAATATATATTGTATTTTATTCTTAAAAATTTTTTATTTAGTAATATGACGGGAATTAATTTTTTTTTAATAGAAGAAAGAAAAATGAGAGAGTGTCAGCCGACAGATAATTTTATGCCCTCAGAAATCGCACGACTTGTTCTTGGTAAGTGTATTATTATCTATATTATACAACTGTTTTTTCATTATTATTATTTTAAAAATAATTTTGTGCTTTTATTTCAGGTTATTTAAAAGAAACAAATTGCGCGAATACTTGGGAAATGTTTCTTTCAGAAAGTCCGCATTTACACGAATACAAACAGTTATTTAATGAAGGGAAAGAATATCCGACTAATTTCAACGGAAAGAGCTTATTAGATATTCTTCATTATTACTACACGGCATCATTAAAAGGTTAGTTATTCAGAGTTTAATATTAATTTTTCTATATTTTTTTATTGAAATTTCTCAGATTTTAAGAAGTAAAAACTTTTTTCGGCATGTGTTATGTAGCCTTCAATTCATATTTATTGATAAGTCTGTCAGTTCTTATTGATGAAAGGCTGTTATCTATTGTATCAGAATTAACATATCTTGATAAAAAGTATATCTAAAAATGTATTTTCAACCAGAAAACAATCAGTTTTTAGATTCATCCTTTTCATATCACAGGAACTGGGCTCACTCACTTCAATTTTAAAAGGGTAGAATTTTAAAAAAGTACATTATTTTTTCATAACAGTTTATTAATTTTACAATACAGTAGACTAAGGAGAAACTGAATGGGTTCAAATTCTTCCACAGCTTCACTACAGAACATTAATATCTCTGTAATATCTAACAAAAGAGGCCATCTTCCAATACATAATGTCAAAGATATACAGTATTTTTAGCCAATTTAAGCTGGAGAATGATCTTTCTGCAACTGGATTTTTGAGTTTCCTTAACCAAGAAACATTTCGCTTCCTTCGCAAACATCCAGTATTTGGAAGATGTGGTCTTCTTTCTTTTTATTAAAATCTTGGATTCTTCTTTGCTCCATTATCATTTCTGCTATGAATTTGTCTTCATAGGTATCGATACATTTGAACTCTGATTGGTAAGTTTAGTTTGGGTCTGACAGTTGGCTTCATTTTAAGGTTTGTCTACCTTTAAGGTAACATAATTGAAACTGTTTTTATGTTATTTTTCAGTTGAAATGCTTCAGTCGACACTTTTGTTTCTTGCAAATAAGAATTTTTTTCTTGGGCTTCTATCATGTGTTTTTGAAGCTCTTAATAAAGTGACATGGATTACGACATTTGTTTTTTCTGGTTGGACAGTATTGTTTCAGTTTGAAGTGCTTCATCTCTGGTAATATTTCAGTTATAGTTTCTTTCAGAATAGCTTGTCATTTGTACCATTTGAAGCAATTGAATATGTTATATATGAATCTAACAATTCCTGAATAATTTCTGACAGCTGAACTTATAACAAGATGAGACTACGAGAACCGCAGTGAATATAGAGCTAGAGGGTGGTTTGCTTGGATGTGGGTTTGAATTCCATGCATTTTTCCACTTGTGAAGGCTACGAGTGGGAAAATGCATGCTTGCTCCGTTATATTTTTGACCATGTAGTCAAGATATATCATGCGCGCATGAACACACACACACTCACAATGCATATATCTTACATGGATATCAGGGGCTATATTCTGGTCACCGTCTCTGGTCTCTTGTCTCTCACAAGCCGGTTGCTGATTGGCTAATTCAAATGATTAGCCAATCAGCGACCTGCTTGTGAGAGATGAGAGACCAGAGACGGTGACCAGAATACGGCCCCAGATTATCTGACTAGGGAGGGCTTAGGAAACACAGAACAATTTATCTGACTGTCAGTACAAAATTTTTTGAAAGACAACATTATGAATAGTAATGAAAGAGAGTTTTTAGCTGCATTACTATCAAATGAATTATGTGTGACAGGGAATGAGGACAGTTTAAATTTAGTTTGTTCTTTATTAACTGTTGGAAATGATGACAGAAAAATATATTTGGAAATATTAAAACACACAGAAACGGAAGACAAAAAAAATTAGTGATGATTGAATACTGTTATGAAGAAGTCGTGCCAAAGTACAGTGATTTTTTTTGCATTTCAAAGCCACTTCTGAATGTCAAGGAAAAGTGTACAAGTAAGTTAGATCTATTTACATCTATCTGTCATTTCTGTTTATTAGGTTATTGCTATTGTATTATTGTTACTGCTAAGTTAATTTGTATTATTCTATTTTTATTGTAGAAATTTATATATATAGTGCAATGTATGGTGAAAATATTCAATTTGAATGGACTAGCATGCCAGTAGAAAAAAAAATTTTAATGACAGTTTTGTACTTAGCAATGAAGAATCTTTGATGATTACTAGTTTTTCTTATCTAAAGAATTTATATATTAGTTAAAATATATTTAGAAGATATTAAGATTATAAAGATATTAAATTTTATATTTTCACTCACTAATTACCTCTCTTTGTTTGCATATTTAGGCAAATTGCTGACAGATTTGGAGTTCAGAAAAGCATTTTAAGTTCTACCATAGCTCAAATTTGTACTCATAAAGACTATTTTAAAGTGATATAATAGAGAGAAGTACAAGAAAATTGTCTTATTATTCGAAGAAAGACGACACTTTCCTGATGTAATGGGAGCTATAGATTGCGCTGTATCGGTTGTAAACCCTACATGTTGGACATTAAGTGTTTATTAATCGGAAAGGCGGTGCTTCCATTATTCTATAGGCTGTCTGTGACCATAGACTTAGTTTTGCAGATGATGAACATGTTTTTGATTGCGTCTCCTGGACAAAATAATGGTCAAAGGTTTTGCTTTTATTCTTAAGGATTATCACTTGGGAGATTCTGCTTATTCATGCAGAGTAAATTCATTGACATTTTTTTAGTGACAATGGTCATTTAATGATCAAAGATAAATGTTATAATTACTTACGTAGTGCAGCATGTGTAATAATTGAGCATATATTTGGAATTTTAAAAGCTAGGTTTTGCTTGCTAAAGTTTATTGACGAAACATGAACTCATTTAATTCTGCTTGTTGCAATTTCCTACCGTTATTTATGTAATCTAATTTGAGAAAATGATAGCTTAAGTCTCAATTTTGTGAAGATTTAAGAAATGATTTGTCGATCATCAATAATAATGAAGAGATTCAGCAGAAGGAAAGAATAAAAGAAATTCTATTAAACAATCGTTGTATCTTTCTAAACAATATGTAGTAGGAATATCTAATTGAAATTTATGTGGAAAAATAGAGATTATTGTATTATTGTTTAAAATATTGCTGATTAAATTGATTTAATTATAAGAATAAAAAATGTAAAATGAAATGTAACTGCATAATAAATGACAATAGCCATTACAATGATATAGTGATCATCTTCCTTGCTTGTAAGTCCTTTTACAAAGTATCTTAATTCTCATTTAAGACGTTAACTAATATGGAAAGCATTCCACTTCTTTTTTTCATCTCATTTATGCTTTCCTTCATTAACTAATGTCCAAAATTCTTTATCCTGCTTGTTTTTTTATTCTAATTTCATACGTGAATCTTGTGCTCTGTTTACTTTATTTCTTGTTAAGACTGTATGCTTTCTGGACCAATGTGTAGGTGAGTCATTATACAAAATTAAACATTAACTGTTTTCTCTCTGTTCTATTGTTGGATTTTTATGGACACTTAATAAATTATTTCCTTTTTTGTAGAATAGAGGCCCATTTACATTATATCCCTTTAATTAATGGTAATATTGATTCATTAGTCTAGAAGAATTTAAGCCCACCAGTGAATAAGTGGATAATCGGCTGGCCACATAAGAGTTTTCTGAATTTTCTTCACTTGTACAATACCTAAATAGGGAAACGTTTCTTATAGAAAGTCTTCCTGACAGCATCATTCCTTAGTAGATTGCCCATGTGTTGCATTGCTGTAACCTATCAAACCAAACGGGTAAATTTCATCTGAGAACAAAAATACTTCAAATTAATAACTTCCATTGCATGTAATGTTAATTAAGAAACATACAAATGTGTTCATGCAAAAGACACTTCTTATAGTTATTATTAGTTTCTAATGTGTACCAGTAAATAAATTAGATCATTTATTTTTAATCTAATGATTGATTTTGAGTTGCAGTTTTCAAACTGCAGATCTATTCATTTCCATTGTTTATTTGTCCTTCATTAATCCTGAAAACAGAGTTAAATAGATGAAAATTGAGACCGGAAATGGAAAGCTTACGGACTGGAGGCCCCAGTTAACTATATATGAAACTTCTGGTTCTGACTAGAAGTTGGATTATTTCAATTCAAAAGTTTCTCGAGAATGGTTTAGATAGATAACATCTTATTTTTAAATTAAAACACGATTAAAAATTGCAGCGCGCCATTGTGATGTCACAATAAGTAATTGTTTTACATTAGTAAACGTTCCAGGTAAACACCCGAGATACAAATTCATTAAGTGCGAATAAGTGACAGTTTATCTTCTACAGTTATGAAATTTGATGGCCAAAATCTGTTATACTATGATTTAAATATTTATGCAAAACTTCTTTGTTTGCTACACAAAAAAAAAAGGCAGTACTTAATAAATAAGTATACATTGCTAACTTGATTTATACCCTGTAAATTACACTTTTTATGTAAATTATTGGCTAAATGTAGTTAGAAATAACATAAGTTAGCTAATTTTCAACAGAACAAAGCCATGAAATATGTTTAGCTTTGCAACTGTTTGATGATTGTGCAGGAATTGTTCAATCAACAATATGTATGTGGCAACTTCTGTTCCGTTGAAAATCAAATATTTTTATCAAATGGAAGCAGCCATTTTTGTATGGTTAAGGTAGCATATTTCTTTGGTCTGAGAGTGAGTGTTAACTATCTGAAAGTGGGCAGAATCCAATGTCACTTAAGCATATCTTTTCGGGTGTGCTTGGATAACGCACCACCAAACATAATTTAGAAATGCCTGACGTTTTGTCGGCTAGTAATGAGAAAGCTTTAGATTTATTAATATTTTTTACCGACTTTCCTAAGCTAACTTAATGACTGTATTTTAGGTTCTGTTCCTTTTATACACAGTATTTTTTGATGTTTGCAAATAGTTCTTCAGTATATTGTGGTTCGATACTGTAGAGGGATCCAGGAATTCCGGTTTCTATGTGGTCCCTTTGTCAATCTTTTGAGAGGATTTCAAGTAATTAAACATTTTAGTTTAGAAAACTGACCTTGATAAAGGTCTTTGCCTTGAACAGCAAGACAAGGATCTTCTAAGAAGTTCAAAAATGTTTGATCGTTGAAGATTTACTAGTTTTAGAAGGTCTCGGACTTGTATTTTTAGCAAATCAATTTAATGACAGAAATGTTTTTGATCTAAATTTATAGATCTTTGTCAGTTACTACAAGAATAGAATGGGAATTAGAATACAGTTACAGAATTTAAGATTTGACTAAAGAGAATGCCTGCTGTTTTAAAGTGCACACATATGAAGCCAAATTAACTGGAGAAATGGGTAGCAAAAAGCAACAACTCCTCTTAACCTGATTTAATTAATTAATGCGAAGTATCAGCCAAATTATCTGGCTATTTTTGGGGTATCCCATGTTCTTCACTACCCTTGGAGGCTTTAGACAAGGGAGAAAGCTCTCTGACGCATTTGTTATTGGATTAAAATCAACGTATAGTCTTCCCCAACATATAACCCACATTATCTTTTAAAAGTTAATCTCAAATGCAGGTAATCTGCAGATTACATGCAAAAATTTACTAAATTATAACTAATATGATGCCAATATTTCTGATCAAGATCAACAAAAAAGCCGAGATGATGACAATACTTCGTAAAAAAAATGTCCTAGTTTACTAAATTTAATGTGTAATACAGTACTTTTAATTGTGATTGTTAGTTAATTATTGATTGGAAATAAATTATCTCTTAGTAAAGAAAAAGAATAGTATATTTTCGTTAACTGTTGGAACCTAACCCTGTGTTTTTCACTAGTCCTTTGTTTCGTATAGCACAGATTCATATAATACCGCACTTTTTTTAAACGTAACTACTGTTTTATATGAGGGATACTCGTATAAACAAATAGAATACAAATAAATATCCCTCATTTTTAAATTTATTTGAATGAAATAATAACAAAAAGCTAATAAACGAAGTCTTTAACAGTAAAAAAAAAATATATATATATATAAAAGAAATGACTCCTAATATATAATGACTCCTAATATATTTTAATTACAAAGGATTAATCTTACAAAAAACCAAACTTTTCTTCTTTTGTTGGAAGATTTTTTTTTTTTAATTAGCCCCCGTGGGCACTAAGTGAGTCTTTTTTCCGTAACCATTATGGGTTTGGCTAGGCCCACGATGGGGGCAGCTGGGGGACGGAGCCTGGATACGTTGGGTTTCGTCCCTCATCACGGGATGGACGTCAATGTATCGAGGATAGACTGCCCATTACAAATTTCTACAGATTTGCTTGCCTAGATTTGATCCTGGGTCCTCAAGAGGAAAAAATAAATAAATTTTAAACTATTCTTTGATGGAAGTTAATAAATGAAAAGCTTTCTTTATATTAATCTTACAAATTATTAGTTATTTATTAAAACTTTTTTAGAAATAAAAATTAACTTTTAAAATTTCGTATTTAGATTCTACAGCAGCAAGCGAAATGAAATCCATTATCGAAAGGTTAGAAAATTCAATATCTCAGTTGAGAAACTACACATCAGAGTCTCTTCATCCGAGAACGGCAAAACAGGTAAAATACGTTTTCTCTATTTCGTATATATGTATTTTTATTATTTTAAACTAAAATAATGATTAATTTAGTTGAGTATAGGATGCATTAGCAGGCAGACAACACTGCAGTGTGTTAGGACACTTTCCAATATTGCAGCTACCTCCAGTCAAAGATCCCAGCCGAACAGAAATGAAATCAGAAACAATAATATTTTGAGTTTAAATTCTTGTTCGGATAGAAATATAAGAGTTGGTGAGTACGACGACATTTAAAGCTAAAATATATAATCAACCGTTTAAAACAGTGATTCTCAAAGTATGATCCGTGGATCACTGATAGTCTGTGGGCATGCGCCGAATGGTATGTCGACTGACCTAGACATTTTTCGAAACTTCAATTCTACGTTCAGGTATAGAAAAGACGGTTTTCACATACTAAATATTTGTTATGCCAGGTTAATGGATAGGCAAAATATTTTGGTCCCACAATCTATCATTATCTAAGATCATAGTTACACAATAAGAAGTAGATGGGGCATAGGTGTTTGCAGTTCATCTATGACTTTAAGTGGTCTGTGGATCAATAACTTTGAGAATTACTTGCTTAAAACATTTTATTATAAAATGTTTCTTTAATACTTTATTTTAGAAACTCAAATGGAAGTAGAGCAAACATCGCCAAATATATGGAATGATTCGAATTCACAAATTTCACGTATCACTCCTGTGTCGTCTTCGTCCTTTATTAATGAAAATCCTACTGTACAAAGTAATGAATACCATTCTAGTAACCCTGTGGGTTTTGTTAATTCCTGTTTAAATAAAGAAACTGAATTAGAAAGAGCAAAATCTGATCATATGAAAAATGTATCTAAACAAAATTATGTTAATGTAAATAGCTCTGTATCATTGTCAAATAATATATCTCAGGCATCCTCGTCTGTTCGTCTAGAACCCGAAATAACGGAACATTGTACAGAATTATCGTTGTTTGATAAGAGAAGTTGTAATAATTTCGCTAAGCAATATCCCTGTTCATCTAGTCATTCTGCTCAGTCTTGTCATCATACCACAACGCAACTGATCTCATCTTCCTCAAAAGAACCTATGTCAATTTGCGAGAATGAAAACGTCTTTGTTACCCAGTGCCATCAGCAAACCTGCTCTTGTGTTTTGTCTACGGGTATTAGTCATAATTGTAATTTTTCCACTTGCATTTCTTCGGCATCTGCCAATAACAAAGCATCTAATCAATATTCTACTAGCAACAATTTAAGTTCACTGACAGTTCATAACAGAAATACTCCTACTTTACCTTCCGTTTCAAATAACACTTCTGTTTTATCTAGAAATTCGATAGAATTTTCTTGCCCTTTACAAAATGAAAGAACCAATATATCGCTAGGAAATAACAATGAAAGTATAAATATCACATCCACTAACAACTTTGATTGTATAGCAAGAGTGAATTTATCGTCGGCTATAAATCAAGAAGTTAGATCGTGTGCTGTGGGCCACTTCAATTTCCCGATTTCCACTTCGACTATGGAACATTCACCTTCTTCATTATTTTCTCAGCAAAGAAATTTATTACCGTCTTTAACCACTCCTGTTAAAGATCTGATGGAATACGAAGATTACTTCCGTTCGCCGAAAAGGAAAAGGTATACGACAGTTGTTATTTTTCATATTTGTTTAAGAATATTAATGTGGTTCTGTTTATCTATATTTTATTCAAAATATCCAACCGATTAGCTAAAATATCAATTATTCATTTTATTGTTTCGGTCTATAAAGGAAAAATTTGGGAAACTTGATTCTTACGCTTTTGATTATCTACTTAAACAAGATATTGGCTACGAAGGAGGACTCTCTGGGATGGTCTGAAAGTCTTGTCACCCTCACAAATTTATTTGAAGTCATGCATCATTCATTTCAGATTGCAACAACAGCTCCAATGGTGCGAAAGAACACTCGAGTTTATGGGCTGGGACTGGTGTTAATGTCCACAAACAGGTGTTAGCTGATGCATAGATCAGCACATCTGCCACCCACTTGTACTGAGCCATTTTTCCATGTTATAGGAGCATGTGTCAGTCATCTGAAATGTATGATGAAGTGCCCTTGTTCTGTCTAAACAATGTACACATTTGTAAATGTGTAGAATGTCTGCGTAACATATCTCCAATGTATTGAAGGTCACGTGTGACCCTCTTGTCCTCGAGGAATAGCATATATTTTTGGAATGTTGCTGGAGTATGTGTTATTTCTCTCAAGGACAGGACCACTTACATCAATACATTGCGACCACTTTAAGATTTTTCAATGCTAGACTGAAGGAACGTAATGTAAACTTAAAATTAATGTTGTTATCACATCTTCTCATAAGAATGACGTCAGATTTACATAATAGTGTATGTTGTTTAGACAAAATGAATGCACATATAATTTCTCTCATTTGGAAATTTTAACACCTTTATTGTATAAAAATAAATTTATGTTAATTTGAATATATTTGCTTCTTTGTCGAAAGTTTATATAGTAAAATGGATCCTCTGCATAACAGAAACCTGACTAAATGGAAAGTTAATCTCCAAACTGAACAATTTGTTGTATAAAATACTACGATAGGCCCGAAACCTGCATAGTGCAGAAGTTATTTGGGGTATCAATTAAGTCGAAAGCAGAAGTTTTTGGCTTAACGGCAGCTAAGTTTTAAAACACAATACTTTAACTTGTGGAACAAAATTGCTGTTTAATTAACCCCCCTCCTTCTCTTCCAGTGTGGATGTCGTTTATGGACAGCCCCTTACCATAAGTTAACAGTAAAAAGTAACTCAGTTTAACAAGATATTTCTCAAAACCTATCCCCATGATTAAGCTACACACACCTGTAATTACATTTTCATGATAACGGCCGACTTTAAAAAATAAATCATTAACATCTATGAAATTGATTTAGTGTAATTCTATAATAGTTTATAGTTGAAAAGATAAGTTGCACATGATTTCCAGGATATCTGTGTAATTTTTCAGTTTATAAGTTATTAAAATTTATATATTTCTTCAGAATTCCTCAAACATTCCATCAAACAAACTTTGATGAATTTTTGATGACGTCTTCAGGAATTGAATTCCATGCCTCCTTCACCCAATGAATGACTTATTTGCATTCAGGAGGATGCTGATTTCAGGTGGAAGTGTAAGACTTTTTGCCCTGCAGCATCCATGCCACATATTGCTCAGAATAGCACACCTTAAAAGATTGGTTCCCCGCAGACATCCAAAGCTTGGATGAAGCTGGTACATCTGGAGTGTTGACCTGAAATCATCCTTCATAGAAACCATGATGTGATACCTGTAAGTGTTCCAAACCAGCAGCCATTGATGAAATGCTAATTGATCCCAGACTTTTTGCAGCAATTTGATGGTCAGTTTTTCATCCATCCAACCATTTTGCTGAGTGAAATTTTGAATCTTGATTTTTATCACTTCTTTATCTTTGTAAACGTCTTTGAATACAATAAAAGTGGCAAGTTTTTTCTGTTGGCTTTTATGCTTAAGAATGCAACGTTGAAGAGAGATTTTTCATTTGTATCAGCACAGAAGAAGAACTGAAGCACCCAAGCGTCATTTTCACTGGCATATTCGTCCAACAGGCAGTCTTTTCCATCATTCCATTCATATTTCTCTTTTATTCTCAGAGATCAGACAAACAGAATGAACTTTTTCAACTTGTAGCAGAGTTCGTGGCTTATATTGACATCAGGAGATGCTTTTTCTTGCCAGGAAATTTTGCAACCAACTGTGATCGGTTTCAAAGTTCTCCACAGTTGTGTCATAAACAGTTCCACTGTTGAATATTTCCCTGGCATTCCTTAAGACTATTTTCTTCAAAACAGAAAGCTGTTTGCTTCAGATCTCCTCTCTCTAATCCTATGTTTTTTCTTCAGTTCAATCTCCAGTCTTCACTTGTAGGTTTCTTCCACCTCCTTGGAGTTGTCTTCTTTTGGAGTTGCTGGATTTAGTGCTAGTTTGAAGTTTCCCTTCATCACAACATTCTCAAATCCTTTTTGGGTCAACTTTGTTGTACTTTCTGGCAGCTGCCTCTTATTATTTGTTTGCAAAAATTATGGGTTCAATTTAAAACTGATTTTATAGCTGTGAACCTTTTTTGACTATTGATGCTTTAAAAATCTCCAAAATTTCACAAACTTCTTATTTTAACTTGCAATTTGAATAAGTATCCTAAGGCAGATTATTATCCTAATGCTTATTCATTTGAATGGGTTCAAAATCCTCAGCATCTATTTAAGGCAGGCGATTATTCAAAACTCGACAATGGAGAAGATAGTTTTGTATTCTGCAATCCGCAAAGTCGGAATCGCTTATCATTATGCAACGTGAGTAATCTTCACGAGTAATCTACTCAGCTGAATTAATTAACGGGTACAATTTTAAAAAAATGCTAATGTTTTTGATCCAGTTAATGGGCCATCTTCAGGTATGGACAGTTGAAAGTACAAAGATTCCACTTTCAAACCATCCACCCAAAACTTTGAGCAATCAGCGAAACATATCAGACTTTTTAGTTCTGTTTAGATAAATTGGTATATAGTGGTTATACTTAAATGGATAATAACTACTATTAAAAAAATTGTCTTTCTACTTCTGGTATCCTTTATAAAGATTTAATTTAATTTCTATAAAATCCTACTTTCCTTTCAGCCTTCTTCCAAGGAGGAGGTTGTTATCTTCATTTTCTCCGACCGTCTGTCCGAACAGCGAAAACGAAAGTAATAGGAAAGATACAGGAATAGTTTCAGAAGAAATTACTCATCCGGAAGAAGAAATTATTGATTATGGAGGAGTATGTTTATAATTAAATTCCATTTACTGTAATTAGTATCAGTTAATATAGTACCATTATTGTCATTTAGTAAGATTTTAATATTTTATTCTTTTTTTATATTAACCAAATAAAATAAATAAATGTATTTTACAAAACTCATTTCAGATATTAATGGAAGAACTGATCAATTTCCATCCTTTATTTGAGAAAATAGCAGAAAACATTAACAAAGTAGTGAGCAACAATCATAATCAGCCGATAGATACGACCAAAGCGATGACCGATAGCGAAGCATCTTTATCGTCTCAGGTGTTTATGTTTCACTTTTATACTGTTTTAAAATCCAATTGACTACAACAAGTAATGTTTACGACGTGACGTATAATATTAAAGAAATAATAATAATTTTAAATATTTTTCTTTTACTAAATACTGTTGACTTTTAATACAATAGGTGAATATTAATAATTTGCTGTTTACTGTATTCAAAAAATGCTGTAGTGTATATTTCAAGATACAAATGAACAAAATAGAGATACTTCAAGGAAACAAACAATTTAAGTGAAGGAAAAATGTTTTTTGAACCTTCATTCAGTTTACGATATCATTTGAAATGAACGCCAGATATGGCTTTTAGTGGTGGTCTGTAATTCTCTTTATTTTCAATTGCTCCCCAAATGTCCTCCCTTTTATTTGAAATTTTGGTTCCTGGGTTCTTGATTAAATTAAACAGTTACTGACTCGAATATCTCCTTGTTATATATGATTTTCTTGTAATATTGATCATAATCAGCCATCAATATTGATTTTACGTAAACATTTTGTCACAGAGAGGTGGCATACAATGGTTATAAGCTGCAATGTTCGGGACTACCGAATCTTTGCATACATTGCAAAGGTTTGACAGTCTCAAAAGAAACTTGGCTGGTGGACCTATTGGTAATTACAAGACATCGATTTTGCTAATGGGTGATTTAGAATTACCTTTCTTTACAATAATTGCTATTTTTTCTTTTTTCATATTTACACACTTAGTAACTCAATTTAACTGAAAAAAGCTCTTCCTTATTTTTAGCAATAAATATATTTTACTTAAAACTTCATTTTAAACCTTGATAAAAAGGTTTAAAACTTCATTTTAAACCTTGATTTGTTGTTAATCTTTTAGGAGAGTCACGTACCGGAAGCATTAATTAAGGATATCTTAAACAGGACGGAATCCGATCCAGTATTTGAAGAAGTTCTAACTTTCCTATGTGGTACGTTAATAAAAACATTTGTAGTTCTATTTGGATCCGTGATATAATGATTTATAAGTTACAATTTAAGGGTATTTCAAAATTACTCTGACAAACTTGGGATGCTTTCTCACGTAAAAAAAATCAAAAAGATATACGAATGCAACTGCAGAAATGAATGGTTTATAAGAAAATGATACTTGAGAATACACAAAGATATTACACATACTTTATTAGCATTATTAAGAGATGAAACCTACAGTAAATGTTTGAAATGTTCTCCATGCATGTGTGTACGCACATTCACTCATTGGATTGTAAATAGTTGCACTTGTTCCAAGCTCCCGGACCATCCGTAAATGAGATTCTGAATGTATCCAAAAATACGTTGCTCTTGACTGCGCATTATTGGAACAGAAAAGATGAGTGATTTTAGATGTCCCTGCAACCTCAGTCTGATGGACTTTTGTAGTTGCCGAGGCAAATCTGGGATGTGTGCAATGGGATTGACTCTGCCAATCCATTGATATGGATAGAAGGTATTTAGATGGCAAGTATAATGGCTAAAATTTGGATGTTCAGGTTGTAGGCGACACATCCTCCAAGAGCAGTGGTAAGATATTTGATAAATGTGTGCACCTATGATAGATTCATCAATAATACCAACCCACACATTTATCCAAACTGTTGATGTTACACACAATGGCCTCCAGCATAGTTCTGTAGTTCCACAATAGTTTTGCCATGTACTCTTCTAGAATTATTAATTTAAATATACATGTGTTATATAACCCATAGAGTTTTATCTAAACTAATAGTTCTGAAAGCGAAGATCGGATGGTCTGGGTAGCATAATTGGCAATTCATCTGCACAGTAAGCAGAAGTTGTGGTTTAAGTCCCACTTTAGCCGATTCTTTTCTTCCAAAATTTCTAAATTAAAAATTAATCTATTAAAATTAATATGCGATGGTGGCATATCTGATTACCTCTTGCCAAATTAATTAGTTAATCGTTAATGTGGCTCAGAAATTGCGTTAATTTGGCTGATTATTTTGCATTGATTAATTAAATTGAGTTATGAGTTGTAATACAAACATTGCTTCATCTGTAAACAGAACAATGGAGGCAACTGAATTTGCAATTGGAGAAAGTTTCTCACAGTAAATAATTATTCATGCAGCAGACCTTGCTCATTTTGATAAAGATAGGGATATAAACACTGTGTTTTTGCAGTATCCTTCAAGCAGTTGCAACTAGTTTCCTGGTGCAGACACAATATATTCCAGGATATTGCCTTCTCTCTCGTTGTATGAGCATTTCTTGGTCTTTTTGTCACCCAAAGCAGGTGCTAATTGTCTTGTTTCTGCAAGATGTTAGTACACTGCAATAAATGTTTGGTTAAGCTTGCTGATACAGTTCTTACACCTTCATGTGCTCTATGAAAATCACATTGCTTGTTCTTGATATGGATAATCTGCCATTGTTACACACTAACCCGATACTTATTCCACTAGCACTCCTGCAGGAATTCTAGAAGGATTTTTGTTATGGCAGTCACACCACCTGGCAAAATGACTGGGCCTTACAAGAACAACACTGTTCACCAAATAACCACCTGGACATTTGATTTATTTGAATGCATTTTAAATGTCAGCTTTGTAGATGATTTTTACACTTTTGACATTGATTTTCTTGTAAACCATTCATTTCCAAACTGTGTTTACAGGACCTTTTCGATTTCGAGTAAGAAGCATTCTCCAAGTCTTGCCTTAGTAATTTTGAAAAACACTGTATGTAGTATATAACGATGAAATTGACTGTGGATTATCAATAAAAAGAGTATAAACACGTGATGATAATAAGATTACTTTGTTTTTGGTATTTCAGAGAAAGTTGATTCGAGTAGAGATAGCTTCGAGAACGAAAACATTTCCCAAGCGAATGACGTTCAAGAATCCATACAGTCGGGAAATAAAGAATTGCCTAAGCAAAATCTTCCATTTAACTCATCTGAAATTTTGAATGATACCAGCACAACTCTAAAAGAGAATGATGATGTAAGTGTTGCACAGTCTTTCCAAGACATTAACAAACAATGCTTGAATAAAGAGAATAATAATACTCAGAACTGTAACAACGAGAGACCATCGACTAGCGAAACTAGCAACACATTGCAGAATCCCTCCATTGCCGTATGTTCCGAATTGCCAAACGTAGAATCCGAAGTTAATCTTAATACGAACGTTTCGTTGCCAGCAACAGTAGATTCAAATGTACGGATATTAGAAAATGGACTCAATACCAACGTGACTCTTGCAAGTAACTTTGTCGTACAGCCTACTGCCGTGACTCCCATCAAGATAAACGTGCCAGACTTTCAGTTCTTAACAGTTTCTCCAAGTATGTAAAACAAGGTGGTATCCCATTATTTTGTTTATAATTTAAAATAACAGTATTTTTTCTGCACAATCTAGGTCATTTATTTGGAATGCAAACTCTTCTCAGTTTTGAGCCAAAAAGAACCCCCAAGAGAGTTCAACCCATTCAACCTAAATTAACGGATGGATCTTCTTTGCTATCCAGTAAGTACCAGTTAAGATTTTGCAAAATAATCATAAAAAATAATTGAAACCCAATCACTTTTGAGTTCTTATTGAAAAGTTCAGACTAAACAAATAGACAGATGCCGTCACAGATACCGTATATAATGCTAACCAGTTTGAGTCAGGACTAGTTCCAAGCGTAAGATTTCTTCACACATTTTCTTGTACAGCGAACACTGTTGTACAGTGTGGTACAGTTCTTTTCAGTAGACAGTTCTGTGGAATCATCGGTTAAGTTACCTTGCCATGTTAGAGGAATAGAAGAGCTCGGCATTTTTAATACAAGTAAATTGATAACGAGAAGAGAAAACAGTGCAATTTAAAATAATGCAGAATAAATTAGGAATAGATATAGTATGAGAAGTGAAGTCAATGTGTATTTTTGTTAATTAGTACGAGACAAAGATCAATCCATGTGATGGCAATGAGGGGAGTTTTTGCTCTCTCTAACAATCTCCTTAATGTAAACTGTCATTACGAATACATCGTAATTTTTAATTTGTCTCCATTAAAAAACAAACACGACTTTTTAAACAGATGCTAGAACCCGAGCTTTTGGGTCATTTTAAACAAATAAAGCCCGACAAAAATAAATTTTTCATAATTATTTTATCGAGTGAATTATAAATTCTCTCGAGATTTGTTCCCAGACCTGCCCTTGAAAAGTGTTTTTGATAATAATCGTACTAATTATATTATGTTTCAAAAGCTATATACAGTAGAACCTCGATTATCCGGATTGTTCAAAATAAACAAAAATTTTACGAATTTGGTGATTTGCACTTGACGAATTACGACACTGTTTATGTACGTGATGGAATGCATAACTTTTTTCATTTCAATGTCTCACCCGGCACAGTGGTCGTAAACTCTTAAATATATTTTGCGTCGTAATAAAAATATAACTTGACATACGTATTTATAAATAATTTATACTCAAATTACATCATTTCTATAACCAAGGGCGGTGTAAGGCATGGGCAACGTGGGCCACCAACTATGGCTTACGGTCTGAAGGACCTCGTGCCTTGAAGGTTTATGCATTACTTAAAAGCCGAGAATGCGACGAAAAATTTTACTCGTCATAAAACGATAAATAGTTTGTCAAATTTTTATTCATAAAAATGCAGTTTCGACTGCTTTTTATTTTATAAAATCCGTCTTCTTGAGCTGCCAGAGGTCCTTTTAAACAATAGGTAGTCTGTTAGCGCTGGTCAGTAGTAGTACAAATTCAATAAAACATTTGTTTCTTGAAAATTTGATCACGATTTAAATACAATATTTATTTTTAATATTACCGATATGTCATCGAAAAGAAAACGTGTTGTATTCTCATTAAAAGACAAATTAAAGTATTTGTTTCGATTATCCGGATTTTTCCTTATCCGGACTACCTTCATCTCCAATTAGTCCGGATAATCGAGGTTTTGCTGTATATTGTTTTTGCTCTTATTCATCTGAAATGTTCGACTAGAAGCAGATATATTTTAACAAAAATAAAATTGTACGGCATTTGGTGTCGAAGTCCAATCCTTGAAACTTTACAGAATAGCATTGCTATAAATTGTTTTTTTATTAATTTTTAAATGCAATTTCAGTTTTTAAACTCCAAATTCTCTTGAATTTAAAAATTAATTTTAGATCACATCGGTGGTCCCTAAGAGGGATAGAGTTCCTCCCAAACATCTTTTTATACAGGAGGTACATAGACATCATCATTCTATGGAAGACTGTACCAGACGTGATGGCATTTGTAGAATCAGTTAATGACAATTAATTTTAGTTAAAGTTACTTTCTATAATCAATTATTGATTATAGCAACCTTGCATATATTTTACTAAATATTAATTCTTTATTATTATTATAAGTAATATTTTTTTCATTTTAAATTATACATTTTAAGAAACAACATTTTTTCTTACCAGATGCAAATTCTACTTGCGTTCTACAGCATAATAAACAAAGAACACCCAATGGAAAGAGGCCGAAAAGGCAGCGATGCCTGAAATCAAAGTTGCAGAAAATAAGCGAAAATACGTCTATTAACCAACTGAAAGCCAACAAGCCTTGCAATAAATTGCCGTCTAATCCCTTGCAAAGCAAATTACCTCAAGAAAATTCGCAACTACATTCTCCTCCCAGAAATGCAAATAACAAACCAGAACAGATGGATAAGACCAGCCCGCAGTTGAAATCTCTGGTGACGTCGGCTCAGGCACTGGCGGGTCGCTCGTGCCGTACTCCAAAGGCACACGTGAGAGTTTTGGATTTTGGACCCGAAGCCAATGCCGCCAACAGCAAGACCAGTTACGTGAACAACATTAAACAGAACAATTTGATTGCCCAGGTCGACCTTCCCTCAGAAATCGTTTTGGGAAATGAAAATCAGGTTTCGGAGGACAAGCAAGAGATCCACCTGGGATATCTAAACGAGACGGGCGAACTCGTCATCTATCTTAACGATCCGGAAGCGTTGAACGAAAGTGTTGTCACGGTGCCCTACAACAGCGAAATAACCATTCCCGCCATCGTAACTTACACGTCCGCAAACCAAGCTTCAGAAGTGGCAATTGTAGAGAACACGGAGAATGCAAATGCTGCCAATGACAGCGAGATAGCAGAAACACTGGTCTCTCTTGCCAGCAGCGGTCGAAATGCAAGTAAACCCACACGAAGCAAACAGAACAAGACAACAGGACAGAGTTCAGCCAAGAGGAATTTTCAAGCGATACTTCCCAAGAAGCCACAGGTAAAATTCTTTTGGAAATTCAGGTTATATGTGGAATGTTTATTGAATTATTTTCATTTGTCGCAATTTTCTGTATTTCTCGGATTAGAATCTTTCAAAAACCTGCTAAGGTATTTATTTATTCTATTGTTGTTCTCTCTCTCAAAGATTTTTCTGTTCTAATTTGAAAGGAAATTATGCAAAATTCTTAAAAATTTTTTTTTTCAGAAAACAAAGCAGAAGTCTCAGGTAAGCCAAATGATTCCAAAATATTTTTATTTGTTTGTTAAACAGAAAAGCATTTTAATTTCCTTTTTTAATAGGATAAGTTGCTGCAAGGCATGGATGTGGACAAATTTCTTTCGAGAGTTCACCAGGGCGAATGAGAAAACAAAGATTTGAAAATGTGTGTAATACAGTGCCTTTTGAAACATTGCAATGACTTATGTAAATATTCTTTACAGTGAGGTATTTGTTGTTTTAAACAAACAAAAGAAAACAATATATTTGTGAAAATTGTATTTTTAACAATAAAATTGTTTCTAATAATTTTATTTCTTCTTTTAATCTACAAAAACTAATCCAGAATCATCTGAGATGATGGAGGCTACCGCTTTTTCCTAGAAACAAAGGAACAAAATTGAGTATAATTTGAGCATCACCGTCGTCGTCTTATCTAAATACTTACCAAGTGTATTTTGCACGCGCTCCCTTTTGTCCCGTCTTCTTCCTTTCTCTGGTCTTTCTGTCTCTCGTCAAAAGACCCGCTAGTCTCATACCCTCTCTCGTTTCTTCGTCTACCAGACTACTGAGAGCCAATGACATGCCATGTCTTATGGCACCCGCCTTTCCGCTGAATCCACCTCCGGCAACGGTTGCTTCGACGTCTACTTTCCCCAGCATGTTTGTAAATTGTAGCGGAAATAATAACTGCTCTCTGAGAAATATAATTGAATAGAGCATAGGTATTGTGTTAATTTTTGTTACTTCTTACTTAATGCCACATAGAAGAATAAAGGTAAACAAACAAGTTATTTCAATAGTGGGGATAGGCAACTTCTTACCAATCACAAGAGAGTTTAACAGACTGTATCTAGACCACTATATGTGATTGGTGCAACCCATTAAATTCTTTGGTGATTTCTTGCCAACTGCAGATCCCCATTTTAAAAATAACTTGAAATTCATTCCTTCTTTATATGTAGCTCTTATGGGACACCCTGTATATAAATTAGTAGCAAATATATTTTACCTGTCTTGCATATACTCAAAATATTGTATATCGGTGCCATTAATAATAAGTTTTCCCGTTCCGTTGGAAAAAACCGTGACCTGGGCCACACTCCTCTTGCGAAATCCTGTAATACAGAATAAAAATTTCCATTTTTATATTAGCTATTTACAACAAGTTATCGTATAATGCAAAATATAATTTTCGACCTTCCGACGTTACGTATTTTTGTCCGTTTTCCATCTCCTGAACCTGAAATTTACAAATATGAAGTAACAAAAGTAAGAGGGAAGACAAAATGATCATCTGATTTTTCTCACCGGCGGAAGCTTCAGCACCATTGAGACCACTTTCATTTTCTTTCGGAATTTCATTATGAATTCTGTGACGCGGAAAGAATACGGATGCTCCATCAGCCTGTTTAACGTCTCGACAAAATGGGCAAACTAAAAAAATAAAAATAGGTAACAGTCTTTGACAAACCGAATTTTTATCTGTCTTACCGACCCCATATTTAGGATATGGTGTGTGGATTATCATACTGAAGTGTAGAGTGAAATGAGCGAACAAGCCAAGAGACTGATTTATAGAAAATGAATTTATTTACGAAAGAGAAAATAGTGTAGTCATATAATGTTATTTAACTTTTCACAGATTTTCAGTGTTATGAAATGGCCTACTGTAGAGGGCGATCGACAGAAAAATACTTAACGGCTTCAGAACTGTCAAACGCAGCCATTTTCTACGTAGATAAATTCAGCATTGATATACTGGGGTCTTAGCCAGCCCCAAAGTAATTCAAAGATGATGTTAAACTTAGACCCTATTTCCCACAAGTGTGGGGGGAGATCTTGACACTCAGTTTCCCTGGTACAAATCAAGAATGGAACAAGGTAAACAAGACTTAGAGATTTATAATTACAGAATAGATGTGAGCATGAGGAAAACTTCCAATGTGACACTTTGGGCGCATACCATAAATTCAACTGAATCTAGACGATCATAAAACTATAAATGTTTTTATTATAATAGAACCAAACTATTCCCAAGTTAAATGGTACAGAATATATCAAAATAATAAAACTATTATGTTACAAAACCTGACAAAAATGTCGAGAAGCATTCTTCATATAGTTTGTGGGGATCTACTATGGTGTCTACCGTGTTTCCCCGAAAATAAGACATCCGCAGAAAATAAGACCTAGCACAGGTTTTGCTGAATTGCGAAATATAAGACCTCCCCCTGAAAGTAAAACCTAGCGAAGTTTTCTTTTAGTCGTACGGTCATCGACAGATGGTTGAAAGTGGCCGTTGGCTTTTTGAAAGTACAGCCACTGATCGGTCAGCAGACAATTACGCCACACGGCATGATTTGCATAAGACTATGGTATGGGAATCACAGATTTGCATAACGTTACGGCTGGTGATGGCATAGTCCTACGGTTCAGTAAGCACTAATTGGTCATCGAGTCCGATGTTGACGCTATAAAAAGGCGACAGTTCGACACACCGGATATAAGTCACTCTCGTCTAAGTTCGACTTGGGAATTTTTTTGTTCAATAATAAATGTGAATTCTTCTTCCTGGAAAAAATAAGACATTCCCTAAAAATAAGACCCAGCGCATTTTTCAGAGCAAAAATTAATATAAGACACTGTCTTATTTTCGGGGAAACACGGTAAGTATAGGATGGGTATGTAAAACATTAGTGAAATGTGTTTTTAATCTTGGATATTAACATGCCCTCATCAGAAGTAGAAGGAATGTACGTCAAAATACACATGCGGTTAAACGGAATGCTTTACAATGCTACTTAATTTGTATTTTAGTACAAATATAAAGTTTTAGGAAAAGAACAAAAGACAAACAAACAAACCTAGATACTTGCTTATTAAAGTAAATAAATAAATGAAGTCATCAACTGTATGTATGAATTAATGTTTTTAATCTCTACGGCCAAGGTATTGGCCATCTACATTGATCCGAGCGGAGAACTTCAGAAATTTTTCACGAGTGGTCGAGCTCTGTACCTAATCTCCCAGCCAAACCCACATTGGAAACGAAAATAAACTCTCCTAGTGCCCACGGGGTAGAAAGATTTTGAAATAAAAATTAACAAAATCTACTTGCTTCAAGACATAAGAAATAGTAAATGAATTTTTATCACATTTGCAGGAAATATTTTCCAATAAAAAACCCGTACCTACCTTCTCGTCATCAATTTCTTCAATTATAATCTTTTCAAACTCTTCTTTTTTCAGCCACTCTGTTCCTTCTACATTTCTGGAAAAAATAAAAATAAGGTAAAGAAAAAAAAGGGGGAGAAGATTACAAAGTAACTTACAATTTAGACTCTTCGGGTGGTTTAAAAATTCCCTTCTCGATCATTGTATCTTCGAATGCGTCTAACTCTACCATCTTTTTGACGATATCCTTAAAAAAAATACACACGTAGATAGGAATTTGATTTTGTAATAATATTAAATATTTAAATATATAAAAGGGTAACATACGTGCATAATTTGATGGTAGTTTGGCCATCGGGTATAAAATAGAGAATGATTTGGTCTACCGGTGATGTCAAATTGTGCATCTGTAAGTACAGAGAATTTGATAATTATAAATAAAAATAAATTTATAACTTAATTTAGAATACTCCGAAAGAAAAGATTTGAGCCTGTGATACCCACTTACGTGCGATTTCATCACCTGGACCCGTCTGATCTTTGCTTTCAGAGTCATTAATTAATTTAGATATAATAATTAAATTTATCACTAGATGATGGCCTGACTAGGCAAATTGCCTTCTTCAGGATCATTAATTAGACTTAAGTAGCCTGATAAAAATTCAGCAGATTGTTTGGTTACAAATAAGGTTTGTCGGCAGGTACTGTACATTTTAAGTGATTAAAGGAATAGAATTACATTTATAAAACAACTTTTCTTACTGCCAAAATATAGAAGGTTGGAATAGTTACCAAGTCAATAGGATTCGATCTTAATTTCTCCTCGGGCTGTCCAAGTTCCGCTCGGGAAACATTACAGTAGAAACTATCGAACGAGTTGCTCAAAAATAAACAAAAAGTATCTTCTTAGGTTGCAGTAATAGAATTTGTTACCCATTTGTCCTCTGCATTTATTATAATACAGTAACTTGTACGGAAGTTGGAACTAGACACCTTTTACTTAATTGGTTGTTGCTGTACTGTGGTAAAACATATCCTCATAAACTTTCTGAAGTCTGTACAATAGGCAGTACAATGCCATTTTTCCAGACCTCTATCGAAACAGCCAAGAGAAAGAAAACTCGACTTATCCACATTAAATAACCTCTGAAAATTTGAAGTCGTGACCTAGACTCAAATTGAGATTGCAGAAAGTCGGGCTGTCCCTATTTTTAGTATTAAAAAGCAAGGAAACATTTTTTCAATTAAATTTTTAGATATGATCCTGTAATCCAATCTGAAATATATACTCGTGTCCAAAATTAAAGCAACACACACAAAGGTACATGGCAAAAATGTAGAAACGAACAGCTCTCCATTGCAACAAATCATCCGAATGCCTTCTCCGAGGCATGCTTGGTAAGCTACTGATGTACTAGGCAATTTTGTTTTAATTTTCAATACTGATGTATATTCAGATTAAATATGAGAAAAATAAATCATTAATAAGATATTCTGCCAAAAAACCATTCCCTTAGACTGACCAATACAAAAGCATTTTCTGATTTCTCAAAAAACAACTGTTGCATCTGGTAAAACAAATCCAACTCTAGTTTATTTTTCTTCTTCACGATAACATGATATTAATGATTGAAAGATATTTTGTATTTTATAGCATATTTAAACCATTAGCAAAGTTATTCTCATCCATTAGTTGTTACAATGAGGCTAGAATGGCTCATTTGAAGTGTTAGCGTTAGCGAATCCTCTTCTATGAGGCTTACAGAATCATGTTTGTTCTCAAAATTTAATGGGCCAATTTTGATAAAACTTTGCCAATTTCCATTATTTGAAATGAAAAGTCCAAAAATGTAATGAGGGTCCATTTAAATGTAAAAAATAGAAATTGAAGGGTTTTCAATACACAGAGGAGTTAAACCGATAACGTCCCTGCTCTTTGATGCGATTGAGCGCACCTGACAGAATTTAGGTCTAGGAGTCAAAAATAAAAACAGCATTGTGTGCGCCTAACAGAAAATAGGTGTGAAAACAAACAAAAGACAAGAACAAAGCACTTTGCAATGATTGCTTTGTTCTTGGATCACCTCTCTGTGTTGGCAAATGCGAGGATGGTGACTCCCGTAGCCAGTAGATATAAAGATCATCTCCTTTGTGGTGGTGAATGCAAAGTTCACCTGTCCATGTCCATCAGGTTTAAAGATAGCCTCTTCTGTGCCTAACAAGTGCAAGAGTAGCTTTTTTCTTTCCTGTTCCGCCTCTATTCTATTGTGATACAACAAAGTTGCGCAATGTCCTAGTTAATATTTTTATATGATGGAAACACAAGCACAAACATTGTGATGCCGTCACTCAGAAACGGCTGATAGTAATTAACGTAATTAAAACTTCAATAAATTTATATTGTAGATTAAAAAAAATCTTGTATAGCCTACTTCCAATTTTAACTTCATAGTGTGTCGATCAATGCAGACTTAGAATGAAGAAATATAGTGTATAAAACTATATTGGCCCAATTGGTCAATTTTTTATGCCAGTTTTAAGGGGGCAAAAATTGCTTGACCTACATTTGGTCCTTGACTTATATTTGAGTTTAATTAAAATTTTTTTCAATTTAAATAAAACTGTCAATAGTATCCACTACAGAGAGATGTGAGAATCTGAGTGTTGTTTTTCTGTAAATTTTAGCAAAAAGCTAAGTTATAAGAAAGTTTTCTTTGTTCCCATCTGTTTCCCATGGAATTAGAAAACAGATGAGCAGATGTTATTTTAACAGTAAACAAGCGATTAGGGAACTCATGTTAGAGAGGGGTCTTTGACGCAGCATGTCCTGTCCCCCTCTCATCGGTCTGAGAAAGTTAAAAAAAAAGTTATAACAACTTATTATTGACGCATAAGAAGGTTGCAAGTTAAACAATATAGCAATGACAAGAGAACAACAAGTCTAATTCCCACTGCCCTAGCAGACTTGTCAAGACTTTAGTCATGATGACACATTTGAAGTGTCATCATGACTAAAAGATCATGAGACCAAATTTCCACACCTGAGAGGGATATAACGGCCATGCACCCAATTGTTGAGGCGGACATATCCAGAAGACAACGACATACGTAGTCGCGAATTGTCCCACCATAATCGAACACTTATCAAGGCAGACTCCACCATAGTAACAGGGGACAACCAAGACTCCCGTTCCACCATACTCCACGCAAATATTCTCCCTGATGCCATAACTCAAGGCTAGTTTGCCCTTTTCTATACGAAGACCTACGACAACCACATACTATGAGAAGTCAATGATTGTCTACCAATCTACATAACCCATTTAACGCGTGTCCGTCTGCGTAACAGTATGACAAAAACGGGCACTAGAGACACCCTAGCGATGATTTTAAATTAACAATAAATTATTTTTATTTGTAATAGGAATTTATTATTGATATGAATTTATTATTTATACCACGGAATGGTATAAATAATTATTATATGCCTTGATTAGCCTTGTGCCGCACGCTTACAACATCCCGTGACTTTTAGTGAATATTGTGCATTGACTCACGGGAAATTTGTTGAAAAAATGACGGATACATTTAAAATCGAGGTTTACAAGCGAAGGTAAATAAACAAATTAAGCTATTTTAAAGTATTTATAGAATGTTTAATAGGTAGGAATCTAGATCCGTATGATGCAATTGGGACTTTAACAGAGCTATAGAGCATATTGATAGGAATAAAAAAGTCAAAGGAACCGTGCCTCATGGGAATTTTTAAAGTATTTATAGAATGTTTAATAGGTAGAAATTTAGATCCGTANGATGATTTTAAATTAACAATAAATTATTTTTATTTGTAATAGGAATTTATTATTGATATGAATTTATTATTTATATCACGGAATGGTATAAATAATTATTATATGCCTTGATTAACCTTGTGCCGCACGTTTACAACGTCCCGTGACTTTTAGTGAACATCGTGCATTGACTCACAGGAAATTTGTTGAAAAAATGACGGATACATTTTTAAAATCGAGGTTTACAAGCGAAGGTAAATAAACAAACTAAACTTTTTTAAAGTATTTATAGAATGTTTAATAGGTAGGAATCTAGATCCGTATGACGCAATTGGGACTTTAACAGAGCTATAGAGCATATTGATAGGAATAAAAAAGTCGAAGGAACCATGCCTCATGGGAATTTGTAAAGAACATCCACTAGGGGGTGTCCTGGGCTACTAGTTTAATAGAAGTATTTAGGAATTGTAAACTCTCTCTCTCGGTTGACTTAGATATTAAGGGTACGTTCATAAAGTCAAACAAGTTAAAAGTGTTAGTAACGAATCGTTTGAAAAGTAGTAGTCTCGCTCATTGCACATGCTCTGCGGTGATGACGTTTCGAACAAAACTCTAATGAAGTTCACGAAGGAAAGAGTTAGTTTACTTTGTTAAGAAAATGGTGCCCAACAATATCGATGTTTCTAAATCTACTCGCATGTTTAAATTGTGAAAAGGTGAAATGATTGAAATAACTGTCCACCCGAAGCAATCTAAGAAAAATATTTCGGATAATGCTGCACTAGCAACATTCGTATCTTCGATTTTAGAAACATCTATTTAGTTATAGACGAATTGTTTGAAAAGTCTAACAAAATAAGAATAATGACGTCATTCTCGTTTAACTCATTCGGCTTTATGAACATACCCTAAGTTAGAGTTCATATATAGATCATAAAGCTAATTCCATAGATATTGGATCATGCATATACATATATATGCTTGTTCATGCATATAACTGTAACTGTAATTGTAACTGATAATTGTATCATATGCATTATTTGTATATCAAATTTGTTTAGTTGATCTGGCATTGACTTTAATTGTTCGAACTGGCACCCTATCAACTTACCCATGGCTCCTCCCACTCAATATAATGCCCTCCGATAACTTCTAGAATGTATGAGAATTGCAATTTAAGACATGTTATTTCATAATTGGTGTCAGAGAAAAAGAATCTGACGTAAGAATGAAAAATATATGGAAAAAGCCATCCAGTGACGCTGTGAGCAGTCTTCACCAGACCGTTGCCAACCAAAGAGGTTTACAAGGTCTGTTCAAAAAGTATCGGACCTTTGGTCGGTAAAAATAAATTTATTGACTTTGAGGTACAAAACCCTAATCCCCTTCAAAGTAGTCTCCTTGGTAATGTATACACTTCTCCCAGCGTTCCTGCCATTGCTGGAAACACTGCTGGAACGCATCTTTTGGAATGGT